CATGGTTGCATAGCAAGGAAGCTCACAAGGAAATTGTAGAGTGGCAAAATTTTTACCATCTGGCTTCAGCTTTTTAAAGATTTCATCTGTAGCAAAATTTCATGGGTAGCTTGACTTACCCTGTAGGAGAAGTGGATTTGTTTCCATCATAACCCATATGCGTACCCCTGTAATGTTTTAGCAGTTGATCAGCCTTATGTGTGTACATGATAACTGCTTGTTAGGTTGTAGGATAACAGGATATAAAGTAGCAGTTGATGCAATTTCTGTCATAGAGATGCTCAGGACGTTTTCATATTGAGTTTTCCCTTTCATGTACACGTAATTGTTGCTGTTAGCCCATCAGCTTTTCTTAAAAAGCAAAACAAAACAAAAATACTACCAACACGCTTACTGGTGTGGAATTGGAACCCATGACTTCATGCTATAACTCAAAATGACTCAGTCACACTGCCACCAAGGTTGTCAGTTGAGTCCAATAAAGTATAGCAGCAGGTACATGTACCACTGTCAGGGATGCCAATAGTTGTTGGAATGACTCTTTGTAGATAGATAGATTTCCAAAGAGGGATTTGTCCCTGCAACACAAATGCAGTGATGCACACATTGAATTTGATATTTGAAATAAAAGTCCCTTTTCATCCTGCAGTTACAATGTACATGTGTACTGTGTACATGTAACAATCTACCTGTAGGTTTGCATGAATATGTATTTGCTGCAGAATGGACCTTTTAGGTGAATTCATTGGAAAATGGAAACCTCTGTTTCCTTCTTTCAATTATTTATTGTGAAAACAGGAAATCCATGCATATATTTGATATTATGTTTATTTTGTCCTCAAAGGTTTGCAAGTCAAAAACTGTATACTGCACCGGTACATACATGTACATGTATACATACATGCACTGGTATGGACAATTTCATGTGTCACTTATTGGCAAACAACTTCTTCTAAACGTTTACAATATGGCCTGCTTTGCTTGTCAATTATCCAGCATACCGGTATGTGCCACATCACTAACGCATACATTTGCAAACAACCAAAATCATCTCTCCCTTTAACACTGTTGAGAGTCAAGAAATGAACTTTAACAGTTGGGGTAATATGTTTATAATTATAGAGATACATGTATACCAGTAGTTAATGTAATAGGACTTTACACAGTGTAATAGGAACTGAATGGAAGTTGTTAAAATAATCAGGATTTTGATGAAAAGTCCAGCTTATTTTAGGGCTTCCAGTGGGACATGTAGATAACTGTGTCAACTCATGTTTCTCAGGTTATCTAAAATATCACTGTAATGGAGAAAAGCAATTCCTCTGTTAAAACATAGGTACCGGTACATGTAACTACAAGTGTAACATTTGAGAAATGTGTCAAAATTATTACTTTTTATTTGTTCCAGTTACATGTATATGAAACAAGAATTTAACATGTTTAAGTAGAGCTACATGTAATTCAGGATTAACGTACGTCATGATGTCTGTCCACAGAGTGACAAACATGAAACAGGCTGATTTTGTCATTCCTTGAGCAGATTGCATGTACTTCAACAAAAATATATAAATCTTCCAGAGAAAAGTTTTGACAATTATTATTTTACATCATATTTGTGTTTTTTTCTATCAGAAACAAAGCTAAGATTTGATTTTAGGAATTGCATATGTCTGTCCACTATTTTGTAACATTTGTCACAAGTATTTTATCTAAAGACTTATCTTATGAGTACATGACACATTTTTTACCAAACCAAATTAAATAAAACAAAATAGTGATCCATTAGAAAAAGTTGGCTATTTTGTTGAAAGGAAAGTGAGAAGACTGTCTGTCGCTACCGGGTAGGTCACGATATGTGACAAACATTTTTCATTGAGAAAAACTTATGTGTACATACATGTAGTGTTCATTTAAGCAGAACTTTGATAGTCTTTTTAACAAAAATGATTTTCACATTTGGGCAATTCCAGGCAAACAGTTCTTTCCTGAACTTCCTTTTCATCTTAAAATTGTTTCTAATAGATGAAAGAACAAAGATATAATCCTTTTTGGCAAATCTTTGTTGTTTTCTATAAAATATGTGTGACGTTCCTTCCTTGTTATATTTGGCTTAAAAATAATGCTCTAATTTATGTGTATTTTCATTTCTAAGCGTTTTTCTTTGAATGGCACATTAAAATCATTAAAATGGAAAGCCCATGAAATTTGAAATGGGAATGACAAATGAAATGCGAGTGAAAAGTGAAATGCAAATGACAATACAACTTTTTGTTATATAAATGCAGACCCAGCTCTATTAAAAGCTTCGGAGGCGTTACATGTATTATGTGTACTTGTATGCAGTGTGTATTGTGCACGCCTATTGTTTTAGGCTAATAAAGGGCAGGCTTCAATAATTTTTGTGGTACCCATGATGCACTGCAAGACCACATGCTCTCAAACAGCGTGCAACACTGCATGTATGTATTTCTATCTACTGAGCTGAGATTCAAGATCTTGCACTTTTACAATTCTGTGAGTCTGCAGTCTGGTTGTACAAAAGGTATTTTATATTGATCATTTATATGATGGGCTGATTTGTTAAAGATGAATAAGTGCTGCAGTGAGTGGTAAAAAATTATAGTAAACTACATGTAGTTTAAGACTGTGGATTATTATATTTCAGCATATACATGTATATCTGCAGTTAGACATTAAAAGGTCCCCCTTTCATTGAAATTAGTATTTCAGCATTTTAACCACCCTCTCAAGATTTATAACCATGGTTTAAAACAACTCAGACAACAGTTAATAAGAATTGTGGAAGAAAAAAATCTTTTGTTCACAAAATAATTAAAGGACAATGTGAAATGCGAGTGATGGAAATCCGAGTGACGGCACTTTTCCCGTCAATCTTAAAACCAGTTTGTTGTTTTACATATATGATTTTGCACAATGCTACTTTAGCATGATAGGAATGTTGTTCATATTACCATTTGGTAGTGATGAATTTAGTTTGAGGAAACTTTTCAATTAAAATCAAGACATTTTTTGGCATGTCCATTTCACGAAATGCGAGTGACGGTTTTATTCAGCAGTGCCATGCTCACATTTAACATTAAGTAATCTTTTTAATGCTACTGAGTTAATGCCTTATGTATAAAAAATGTTCACACCAGAGATGAAAGAGTAACTCATTGTGTTGAAGAAACTACATCATTAAGATTGTAAACAGATGCAAATATGTGAAATGCGAGTGACGCTGGAATTGTCCATTTAAGAAACAAGTGTCTGTCCATGTGACAAATGTATATCTTCAAGAATAAACTTCTGTAACTAATAAAATACTGCTCAAGTTATCTTTACCAGTTATACCTTTCTGTGGTAACAATCAGAAGCAATGAAGACATACATGTACATGTATATGTAAGCAAAAAAACAATGGCAAAATTTTACAGTTGGAAATTTTTAGTGAGTGTCATACAGATATATCTTTTCATGTGGCCAGACCTGTTACATTTACATACCGGTACATGTACAAACATAGACATCTGTTAAGACAGTATTTGTCAGAACAGAATCTGACAAAATTCTTTCAATCGCTAAAATATTTGTGTGAGGTTCTTGTCTTCCTTGATTTACATAAAAGCAACATCACCCTCGATTGTAAGTTTTAAAAAAATACACCTTTCAATACACTTACTCCCAGGAGGATGTCAGGTGGTTTTCAGACATTGAAGAAGAGCAGAAAGGGTAAAGTGTATGTATTCTAAAAAACGTGGCCTGAACCTTTTATGGTTTGCAGATTGCACCAAAAGTTGATAATAACCTAAATGTTTACTTTTTCTTAGTCTAAAAATTACTAAGTAATTTGTATCCGATTGTGGTTTTGGGTTCCGAGTTCCACTATTTCAACTTGCCAGTACATGTATTCCTGACAACATCAACCAGGTACCGGTACCGCTACATGACTATCCGATCCCAAAGCAAAGCTCTAAATATACATAATGCACACATACATGTACACGTACCTTGTTGAGATCTGTTGCAGTATTATAGTACATATACATGTATGTATAATCTGTTCTCTGCCTTGGGCTTATCGCTGATCAAGCTGCTTATAAGCCTGGTGGTTTCAATGCAAGACAGCATTTCAATTCCCTCTAGAGGTGATATCTGAGTCCATTTTGTTGTACCTTGAGCTTCTTGTTATAGTGATACCCAGCAATAAACCAAATTGGGCAGAGCCCTTGAGGCAGTTGGTACTGAGTGCATTGCTCTAGTTGAAGTCTCATGCACGTGTACTTGTACAAGTACAGTACATCAAAAAGTGAGGGACTGTTTAAGATGATCTGATTGTAGAGCTTTCTGTTAGGCTACACCAGCACTGGTTTTAATGGTTACAGCCAGAGGCTTCATATTTTTCTATGAACAGAATGTTAACCTTAGTTTTAGGTGGAGGCAAACAGAGATGTCTTCATATAGTCAGGCATGGAGTTCTCCTCCTTTTAGTGGATTTTCTTAGTTTTTTATGTCCATGGTATACCATTATAAATTGGAAAACAGTGTACTTTATGGAGTTCCTCTCTTTTTCAGCAATTTTGACAATTCCATGTCCTCTAAGTGGAGTTCAGCCCACACTTATATATTTCTTTAGATTGGCGTCCGTCGGTTTGTGTCCTGCAGTTTGGAAAGAAAATAAAATGGGGGGGGGTGAAACACTTACATGAAGGGGGAAACAGACGTAGGGATGAGGGAATGCTGGCTCCTGCAGGTACTTGTACTTGTGTGTGTGACTGGCCATGCTTGATGAATGCTTATGAGCATTTACTGTCACCTTTTTGAACTACATTGTATGTGCGCCATCTGTGCCAACGTGTACATGTACGTGGTTTTAATGGTTGCAAAGAGCAGTCATTGACAATTTATCAACCCATAATTACATGACCTTTACCTCCCGTTTTGCTTCCATGCATCTCCCTCCCTCACTCCTTCTCCTTCTTCTTCTCTCCTCATCCTAGGACTGCCACTGTGTGGAAGACGCTGACACCGTTCTGGGGGGAGGAGTACTTTTTCCATCTTCCAGGAGGCTTTCAAAACCTTTCTGTGTATGTCTTTGATGAAGATACAGTCAGGTAGGGTAAAGGATGTATGTGGAATAGCAAGTTTCTCATTTCAATAGTACATTTAATTCCGCACTTCTAATAAAGTTTCTTCAGTACATACTATTTATTAGGGATTGGGAATTATTACAATGCTTTGCAGTCAATCCAAGATAGGAACAGATATTTAAAAGTACACAGTAAAGAACAATTTTCACCATATACCGAAAACAAGAAAGGGTATTGGTCTGTTTTGTGAGCCAGAGTGAAATACACGCACCAATACAATATAGCAAAACATCAGACATGTAGCTGAAAGACAAGTAAGGTAAATGTTTAATGCAGCCAGCTTCACTAACCAGAGACACGAAGATGTTGATCCTGTCAACTCAAGTAGTGTGCTTTTTAATCATTAACCAGCATTGAAATGCTGTGGGTAAACAAGTGCTGCCAACTACATCTTTCATTCTAAACATTGTGGAGTTACCCTTGTCACGTGATCTCAACGTCCGAATCACGTCTACAGTACTACTCGTAATCGTTTCTGCCTTTTTTTGTGATGTACATGTACGCTGCATGAGGAGTGGAAGGAAAATATTGTGTATTGCCACCTAGTGTTAGTTATTTTTAGAGCTAGTAATTGGTCTAAGGTTCCAATTTAAATGGATAGAAAATGACAGCCAGCCTGCAGTATGAACAGATGCTGTACATGCGGCATGAGTAATCGGTTCCATAGAAGCTTCTCCATCACACTTTGGGTTGACAACCAGTGATTGGCCTGTCTGACGCCCAGGCACGTTTGGTTTAATGCACCTAATCCTTCTGCTTGGTAATGGCCAGGGGGCAGGCTGCCATGAGAAGTGTTGGAGAAGAGATGAAATGGGAGGGATAGGCCTGAGGGTTCATCTTGTCTCTCGATGGGGTGTGACGACTTGGAGAAGCTGCTGTGCAGCCATCCCTTTTTTTTTTCTTTTGAAAAAAAAAATCGGGGGGGAAGGGGTGCAAGTTTTTGGTTCAAATTTTTGGAAGTAACAAATAAACTACGTGTGGAGTACAAAGAAGATTTTCAGGTGTACTTCTAATTATTTATGAGATACCGGTACACCTATTTATGACATGTAATCTGTTCTGTTGTGAAACCAAGAATGAAAGATTGTATCTTTTGTGTGTGAACCAGACTGTCTTTCCTCAGGTGTATGGGATTGTCATGACTGTTGGCGTGATCCCTTGCCCTTGGGTACTTCTGGGTTTTGTGTTTCTTATAAAGCGCCACAGAATTAACAGGTTTTGTCAAAGAGGCTTGTCGAGCTACCATGTGTTAACAGGAGAGGGATCTGTTTCACCACGCAGCAATTACTCGGAGATTGACACTCCACTTGCACGTGCTTATTCCCATGCATCTGGCACGGAGTATGCTCAAGAAATTTTGTAAATTCATGTGGCTGAATGCACAGGGCCAGTGGCATGTGACTGCCATCTGACAAGTTATGCATTTATCACCAGTGACGGGGTGCTTGTGTACAGAATGGATAACTTAGGGCAAGTTTGAGCGACGACTGCAGTTAACCATAGTTCGACCACTGTTAACCAAATGATGGATGATGTTGGCCATTTACCATAGTCCATCATTTGGAACTACATGCACATGTACATATAAATGATAATGCTGGTTATCAGAAACTGATTTCATTTATCAGAATAGAGGGAAACCATTCATGTGAAAATAATTGTATGAATTGTCATTAACTATGAACATTTCTTGGGTTAAAGCCAACAGCAAAATACATGTACATGTACATGTACAAGTGACAGTGAGGTTTTACAAAATACCAGTAGTTCGACTATATGGTCATTTAGTTTGACTGTACAAGTATTGCACATGTATACTGTTACAAGCAATTGACGGCTGCTGGAACTATCGTTCGCACCTGAACTTGTCTTAGTTGGTGGAATGCAGGTACAGTGTACTGTGTATAGAATTTCAAACTCTTTCTTAGCCAGTCCTTGTTCTCAACGGGACATTTTCAGTGTGGTCTTTATGTAGTACATTTCGGGGCCTTTTGGGGCCTTTTCTAGAGGGAGGGAAATATGAAGATTGTTCATGTATCTGTATTCAAGTAATTATTTACATTTACATTTATAATTACATGTATATACCATTATGTACCCATGTTCTGGCACATGTACTGTAGATGCATAATCAATGTACCGGTAATACAAAAATACAGAAATAATCAACCAATTTTGAATTTAGACATACATGTACATGTATACCGGTCCATGTAGAACTTCTTTTAGATTTCCTCTTGTCTGAATTGCTTTAAAATGCACACATTTGAAATATGAATAAGCAATGGCAATGCCTCAGCCCTGCTCACCTTGTTTGTAGTACATGTGCTCTTTGCAAAGAGGATTTTGTGTGTGTGGGCTTCAATACACTGCCTCAAGCCAAGAAGCTAATCACAACCTACACTCATGTTTTTGTTTCCAAGGGGCATTGTGTCGTGCAGGAACACCGCCGCAAAACTATTATTATTTCAGCACAGGTGATCAACAATTTCTGCCGGTGGCTGCATTCTGAAACCAAACTGAGCAGAGAGCACTCAAGAAATACATGTACAAATCATTCTGTTCCCCATCACCATCGCGTGGGATGAAATCCCGTATAGCCTTGGAAGATTGAGTTTGCTCACCTGTGACCTTTTGATTTTTTGTCTTGTTTCTCCCACAGTGAAGATGATATCATTGGCAAGGTGTCAGTGGACAAAGATGTTTTACAGGATACCCCACGAGGTAATAGAGTGTTGAAGTGAATATGTCGCGCACACAATTACCAGTACATTGTAGATATGTTTAAAAGGCATTTAGCATGAAAACCAGCGCATGAACAGCACGTGCCCGTACTCCGTTCGTTTGCTGTACACTCCCTGGTTCAAAATGATATCACACTTTGGTACTGTATAACGTACCGGTACACATGTATGTAAGTGCTGAACTGGTTATTTCTAGGGTGCCGGCTTGTGTGCATTCAGCTATTGACCCATTCATGCATTTTGTTTTGCTCTCCTTTTTGTGTACCTGCGTGTTCATTTGTTGTTCCATAATGATGTTCCATAACAAGTTATTTCCTGTAGTGCATGCCTGATTGGGTTGAAACCTTGGACCCAAATGGTCATGAGGAAATAATTATCAGGTTTGTGCATTAGATTGGTTGTTCAAATTAACAAAGGAATGCGAATAAGCACTCTGTTCTGTTGGCCAACAAAAAGATGAGCTCAAGTTTCTTTTATTTCTCTACATTTTCCTTAACTGTCTCCTTCAAATCCCATAGATTTTGGGCATGATTTTTGTCAATGGCACTTTGACAAGTATTAAATCTTCAATATTAATCAAACTTAAAACCAAACTGAGACCTCAGGCTAAAGATGTGCACTGAATACCAACTAGCATCATGATGATATAAAAACTCAGGTGATAAGTTTTTATTGGTCAAGTACTTGAAGGTTAATATCTCTGAAACTACAATTCCTGTAAATTTTAATTACGGGTTTTGCCGGCCAGCCGACCCTCGCAAGCCGGGTGGTTGAGTGGTTAAAATACCTGTACTAGTAAGCCGAAGTTGGTGGGTTCGAGTCCCACCCGAGTATAAGCTTTTGAATTTTTTCACAAGCTCTCGAACATCACTGAGTATACAGTGTTTATGAATATACGTCGGGTAAGGACATAACCCATAATCAAAATTTGCATCTCCCGACACAAAGTACATCTTGAAGTCTGGTTAAGTTGTACATGTAGGTATAAAAACTTAAAATGAAGTAATCACTTTATTTTTGTAAACAATTTTATTCTCTTGCTTTATTCTTTTTGTCGACATTTCTCCTGAAAAAACAAGGTATTTTCGTAATTCTTTTTGCAAAACCTTTGTCTTCAAAATTGTGAATTTTTCTTTCTGATATTCCTGATCATCCGATCATCTTGAAACTTGGTGGGAAGATGTATACCGGTACATGTATGTTATGCATTGCAAATACGACATGAAGTCATGATGACATAACGACTTTTTTTTTTTCAATATTATATTGTTTTATCATTTTTTCCCAATTATTGTCTTTTACAAGTTGTGCTAAAGTAATTTTTGTCACTATTTCAGATCAAATTTATTGGAAACTTCACAGAGAGAAAGTCCTTTGATATTAAATGTATCTACTTTTACAATGATGCCATGATAACATTATCAAGCCATTTCATATATATTTTTAAATCTTTGACTGTTGTTGCACTTTATACATTTGTCTTTTAGCACACTTAGTGAGAAGACAGATAATAATAAACATTATTTATATCGCATATTACAGTATTTTGGAAGTCCCTACATGAACCGTATATGCTTATTATTATTATCCCTGCACATAGGGCTCACTACAACTGAACATTCCTGAAACCAACTCAGCTCCCTGGGGAGTATACTACCGGTAGCTGATGCAGCCCTACTGTATCAGGTGCACATGGCTAACATTACTATGTCTGCCCTCACAGGTACCCATTTACTCCTGGGTGGAGAGAGGCACATGGGGGTAAAGTGACTTGCCCAAGGTCGCAACATGCTGCCACCAGCTGGATTTGAACATCTGACCCTATGATCAGAAGCTACAAACCCTAACCACTAGGCCACATGCCCCCTCCCCTTGAGAATGAGATTTTACAAAGTAGAAAAGCCATGCATTCTCTTTAAAGCAGATGCAAACTCTAATTTTCTAGAAAGGGTTTTCGTTTCATGCAGGCCTACGAACACAGTTAAACAGTACTGCAGGAACAAACGACACATGGTAGTGGACTCTTGAGTGTGTTATATGATAGACCATTAAAAAAAGACATGCACACTTGGTCTGTATAAATTACACGTTGAACACATTTTTATTTACACATAAAGACATTGGCATTGATGTAATTTAACTTTTTGAGTCATTTATGAACACAGAGTATGTCGGGGGCGTATGAAATCTAATTCATTGATGGGTTTTCATGTGTTGGTGTTTTTTTGGGGGGGGGAATTCTACATTTACATAAATAATATACTGTTCATGTAAGTGAAGTGGAAAGAAGGAAACTACATGTAATTGTTGCACATCTACATGTATGCCACATGAACAGAATTAATTTTGTTTGTGCTATGACAAAGAATTCTGAGTGTGTATATAAATCAACAGGAAATCAATGATCTACAGGTACAGGAACAGCTATCCAAAATGAAAATAAAAAAATTATAATAGGTGTATTGAGTAAACTTTTACCGTATCCCGCAGGACAGTTTGGCTTGTTAGAGTACTTCTTGTTTGGTTTAAATCCTAATGACAGCAAAATTGTTCAGAAACATCAGTAAGCGTTGGCAAGGTAATCCTGGCCTTATTTACTCAGAAGATTTTTTGGGAGTGTTTTCAGCACAAATTGTCCGGGAATTTCTTGCATACAGGTTGGGTGTCTGTGTAATACGCCATCATCTCGCCATCGACTGCCGTGACTACATAAGTCAATATTTTCCATTCTGCAATTCTGCCTTGAACCATCTTCTCAAGGAAATTCAATTTAATCCTATCAGACCCTTCCCCAAATCTTGTCATGACATCCACCTGACTCCAGCTGTTATGAGTATGAACATGCATGTGCACCAGCACTGATCAAATCAGTGGATTAAAGGCTAGGAGTTGTTTGTACAGGTGATTAGGAGGCCTGCCCTGGGCAAAAACTGCCAAACTACATGTACATGCACAGGTAGATTGTAGGCGTAATACCGAGCAGCAGGTTGTGATGTTTGGTTTTAACCATTTTATGCACTGAGGGAGTTTTGATGTTTGGAGAGTCAGCAAAGAATATTTTGTAACCTCATATAAATGTACAATTGTGAAGAACTTTGAGACTTCTGTGATTATTTTGCACATTCTGTATTAGCACCAGGTATTATTATTGTTGTGGGTTATACAATGCTCTACTGAACGAAAAAAAAATCATGTTTGCACAACTTTAAACTTATGCATGAAAAAAGTATGTGGAGCAAAATTTCCATCAGCAATGAGATTGTTTCACAAGGTCTCTCCTGCTTGCCTTTCAGGGTGTCTTTGGTATTGTGTCAGGCAGGAAAAAACAGTGTTTGAATTTGCACGTGAAATTTTCAGTCGCATGACACTCTAAATGCAAATAGGGTAGGCATACGGCTGTGATCTTGAAATTCTTATTGGCTCTTTGCCAAAGGCAGGATAGATTAATGAAAAGTAGGTCTTGTTTATGAAATAAAAAAACATTTACATATATGTAGGCCAGAACATTTGGCAGCACATTACATGTACGTATGTATTTTGAAACAAGGTAACCCCATAAATTGTTATTGTATTATGTGCCCTTTTTTTCAGTCAATCACGTATACAAGTACATGTAGGTCTAGAGAAGAGCTAAAAGTAATATTTTCTACGGCATACATCCTTATTTTCTTTGGTCAACTAGGTTTAGAAAAATGGCTACAACTGGTAAAGGTGGACCGAGACACAGAGGTGCAAGGAGAGATCCATGTTGAAGCCACATTGCTGGAAGCAGGAGGGGGATACAAGAACCTCAAAGTGGAACTCCTTGAGGCAAGGTAAAGCCTAGCTTGTCATGAGAGCCAGTCTGATCTTGTCATGAAAGTGAATAGAGTGCAAAATGGATACTTCGGAAAGTCTTGCATGGAGATTGAAATGCAGTCTTGCTGTGAGATTTGGCAAACCTTGTGGCTTGAACATTTGCCTTGATGTAACAACATTGTGTTTGTATTTGCTGTTGCATTGAGTTTGAGTCAGCCTAAATTGGTTACCTGAATTAAGACTTACGTATTGATCTTCATTTCCTTTTTTGTTATCTTTATGGTTTAGTGGTTAGCCTTTAATTACATGTATCTGCAAAATAAGGAGTTTTACACCATTATTAGTGGTGGATGATATCAGAAAATCTTCATTACATGCCAACAAATCAAGACATCTCTATTATTTAATGATCATAACAGCAATCCTCATGACACACTACCAGAATCAAGACATTTTCCCTTTAGTTTGTATCCTTAGTTATCAACAAATGTTCAGTCCGTAAATGCTCATAACGATCCTTGTAAAATGCCCACAAAGCAAGTAGGTTTGCCTTCAGGAAGTGTCTTCAGTTACCAATAATCCAGGAAGTGCTCCTTAAGCCAGCAAATAATCACCATAATAATCCTGACAGAAGTGAGTGGGTTAACCACGCTCACTGGGTGTTGAGTTACATCTATATCATGCCTTTTGATCTCAGTCTGTAGCAAACAAATAAAGGTTCACTGATAACAACTGATCCCTTATATTAACTCCTTCAAATAATGAATCGTGAGACTTGTCCTTATCTCAAACTGCAAGCGTGTTCTTATCTCGCCCCAAAATGAATACTTAGGTGAAACTAATATTCTTTTGAAATCAGAAGTGACAGGATTTAATAAATTTTGACATTCTGAAATAACATCTCTCCGTATAATGTTACCTTACCAGAATACCACCTACTTTTTCTTTCTGCTGTCTCAAAAGAAGCATTTCAAGATTTTTCCCCCTGAATGAGAATACATGTATGCAACCAGGTCAATTTCCCCTTGGCTGGTAAGTCACTCGAAGTGTTTTGGTCCCTCTGTTACTATTGTTTGTCTAAAGTAGGGAGGCTTTTATTTCTCATTACCAGGGATCTGGCTGTCAAAGACAAGACGGGGTCCTCTGATCCATTTGCAAGATTAACCTTCGAGGAGCAGAAATTTGACACCAGGGTAAGATAGCCTTCAGAGATACCTGCTTGCTTGAGGACTGGCAATTTGTGATGTACGTGATCGGCATTGGGAAGAGTCCTTAACATTGGAGGGGAAATGGTGAGCAGGATTAAGATTTGGTGGGGGGGGGTTGCAATGGAGACAAAATAGGGATAATGCGTATATACCCACATGAAGTGAAACCTGTATGTGACCAGTGATCTTTAGAGGGGCAGACATTGCCATCCCTGTGTTTTGGAGGCAAAATAAAGATTCATGTATTCACTTATGCTTCATGCTTCATGCAGGAATATTGAATGCTCACCATTCCTTTGACAAATGTGAGGCATGGAAAGAAATCGGTGCGTCTGGTTTATAGTCATTGATGCACTTGCAGGCTTTGCATAAAGAAGACAGTGCAGATATTTTTAAAAGGAGAAATGGTGTTGAAAACTGTAAATTGTTTATTTTAAGTTAGTTGTATGGCTAGGGAGTGAAGTTGACATTTTGTAGCTGTCAAGCAAGAGAAAGTAACCTGACCACTTTTTTTTACTTTTCTTTTGAATGTGTCTGATGTGTAGGACATTTGTTTACTTTTGAAGTAAAAAACAGATGTGAGAAATTTTCAGGAGGGTTTTGAGCCTCTTTGTCTTTTTTCAAACCTTTAGATAATCAAGAAGACACGTTTCCCCAGATGGCATGAGTCATTCACCCTGGCACTGCCGGAGTCCCTAGAGGGCACTGTTGTCGATATCACAGTCTGGGACTGGGACCGTGTTGGGGACGATGACTTCATGGGGCGGGCTTCGCTCACGGTGTCTGAACTTCCCGTCGGGAGGACTGTGCGTCGGTGGCTGAGACTGGACCCCAGACCGGAGAAAGAGCAAAACTCTGAGGCCAGGTTTGTTCCTTGACCTTAACTCTTGCTCTGTGACATCCTCTAAATCATGTATTCACTGAGCATGACTGTCTCATGCTTTTGCTTTCAAAACTATTTCTCCTTCTCTGGAAGTCAGTAATGCACTCCGAAGAATGCTGAGCTAATTGTTTGATACATGCGTGCCATTCCATCTATGAAGTTACAATTGGAAATTTTGTCAGTGAGAGAGGCTTCGTCCAAAATTGGCATTCTTAAATGTGGCTGTGGCTATGGTGCTTCAACACTGTGTGACAGGAATGAATGTCTGAAGCTGTAGCCGCAAGGCAACTTATTTGAGTGTGATATTATGTGTAGATATGCAGTAGCTGCAGCCTATGCACATAACAAATACATGTACTTGGTCGAATGTGTACATACAGGGCCACTCACTTGTGAGCCATGCATATTGTCAACTATAAGTGATCAAACTTCTCTCTGATGAGCAGCACAGCACCCTTAGCAGTTACATGTGCATGTACCTGTCTTAAATAGGTTACTTTTTCCACAAGTGATGCAGTGCATGCCTACATGTACTGTAGTGCAGAGGATAATCCAATTTCTTCTGTTCTTTCTCCCCCATGCTTAAATTTGATCGAGTGATGACCACAGATATCTATCTTAAACAAATCTCCACTCTGCAGTGGAGGGTGTGCGAAGACAATCAGTCTGTCTGTGTACACAGGCACAGCTGACTGGTTCAAACATCAAGTGCTCCTCAAATCATCTCCAGTAGACATTTGAACAGGCTAATCCCCCATTAGCTTTGTATACATGTACAGAAATTTAAGAGGTCTGAGGCGGTGGACTGTGAGCTGATCTTGAAGTTTGCCACTATGCCTTGCCTGTGTTGGTAGTGAATATCACTCTTTTGGTGTATCCCATGGTATTGAAAAAAGTACTGTATAGTTGCAGTCTCACCATACCATTCAAATATTTCTTGCAAATCAGTGTTTGTGGTTTTGGGCTGTTTAAAAACGGTTGCTTTTTAAAGCCAAAATTTGCAGACAATAATAATACTATTTGCAAGTGGACAAGTGTCTTCAGTAACATTCTTTTAATTGTTTGCTTTGCTAACAGCAAGAATCTTGGGTCCATACGCATACGTGCTCGCTATAGTGAAGAGAGAATCCTACCATCGCAATATTACCAACCCTTGGTGGACCTGCTTGTTGAATCAGTACTGGACACAGAGGTAAGAGTCGATCAGAATGGAAGATTCACAGTCATGGGCACATTTCATTGTTTAACGTTCAAAGGCAGTGGCTCGCCTGGTCTATGGGCCTTACAATCCCTGCTTGGTGTGTCTTTTATGGGCTGTGCATGTCGTCAACAGAGGGAGGTTTATTACTGAGAAACAGCGTCCATTGCAAGACTGTGGTAGAGTCCATCAGAAGATCACTCTCAAGTCCTTTCACCAGTCTATTCATGAGCCTACTCACAAGATGCAGGATGAACTATGGCAAATGAATGCTTTTGTCACATTTTCTGGCTTAGCTTGAGACTGGATGACTTGTGATGATGGACGTTCAAGGACTTGTGGTGGACTCAACTACAGCCCTGAGCCCCAGGGCCTGATGCATGGTATGATTGTCTTTGGTTGCATGCATACGGTGTGGACCATGTAACATCTTCACATACGATACTGGTTCATGTACTTGAAGGGTTCCCTCATAGGCGCTGTCCATGTGGTGCTGGTAGAGGTTGAGTGTCAGCTTAGCCTGTCTCTTCATCACCAGTGAGGGAGTACTTAATGCATGGATCCCATAGGCCAGGGTTCATTAGGGGACTTTGGATCCATCCTCTTACTTGACATTAAAGGTCATATCTGAGTCACTTGGTTACTGGTGGATATAATGTACATGTACATGTACATGTACCTATGGTAGCCGCGTACCAGCTTCATGTCTCTCCCTTTGATGCCCTGTTATATCCAGCCATTATTATTTGGAAACGACCTAAGTTTTCCTCACTCAAAAGAAAGAACGTGTCCACATCACTTGGCTGTGGCTGGCTACATATCTGTGGGACCTGGGTGTAGCTGCTAGCCAGTGGCTTCCATAGGTGTATATCAATGTATTATTTCCAGGTACGTAGTCAGGTACATGGCTTGCAACCTCATAATGTGTCCGAAAAAATTGACTTCCAGTGTTATTGTTATTATTATTATTACTGTTTTATGTTTAATTGTACTCCTCGCTGCCAATGGCAGAATTGTGAATACGTTTTACATGTACATTAAAAACAGATTAATATAAATTTATACATGTACATGTATGTACATTTAACATGTATAAAAGGCAAAAATTATAAGAAAGCTGAAGGCCTTGAATACCTTCAATACTTTGCAGTAAAAAGCACATTAATGTCAGTTAATACATACAAAAAAGGGTAAAATTGAATAACGTCAAAATACACATTAATGGAAAACGAGGTCGCTTACAAAATGTTATGCATGTAGTTAAAAAGGATAAGGGTAAAAGTGCAGGAGGCAGAAAGGGACATAAATATTGGATAAGGCTAGGAAAGGGTCAAACAGAGGGAAAAGGGAAGGGAGGGGGGTCAGGGGTAGGGGTGTTGGGGGGGTTATGGCTACATTTGTGTTCTCAGTGTTCTGGAAATGTTGATGAAGTAAATTCAGATCAGATGCATTTTACCGAGAAAATGTAGAGCGCCACCAGTGTAACAGAAATGGTTCGCACTGCATGAAGGTAAAGGTTATAGAGTACCAAAGTTTGGCGTCATTTTGAACCAGGAAGTGTAATGCATGTTGACTGCTGGTTCTCACACCAATGCCTTTTACCGGCACATGAATACTTGTACTCATGATGTGGTATTCACTTCAGTATTTTATAGCAAGGAAAATCTATGACAAGCTGTTTATGGCAAGGCTTTGGATTATGTGTTACTGGTTCAAGGCTATGGGTTACATGTCAAGTCATTTGCAAAAGTTTAGGACCACCCATAGAAATGGCATTAACCTGAAGGAAAACCAAACTTAAACCAATCAATCATGGCAACTTTATTTATTTTCAATGTGTAACCTTGGTACCTTGTTTGAACATTTTTGACTACATTTCCATGATTTTGACGTGTTAACAGTCTAATATTCAGTGTGCCCTCCCTTATTTCTGATTGCTTAGACTGGTTTTTTTTTACCCTGCTGCCTTGCAGATAAAATGCCATACAAGACCTGCCTTTGCAAAAAAAATTCAAATGGGTATATAGCACTACATTGATGTTATGCACCACTGTAAATCATGTTAATTAATCATTCAGTGAGACAGTGTAATGCAGGCCCAGTGACAGAAATACCAATAAAATTCAAGTTGGTCTTAAACTTTTGCAAATGACTGTACAAGGATGTACATGTAGTGGGCTAACACTAGTGGGGATATGCATGTAGGTACCAAGACTGTGAGCTAACAAGGCTACGGATAACAAGGCTATGCATGGCCATTGGTAACAAGGGTGCCAGACTGTTAGGGAATCTGTATAGGAATGCATTGGGTTATAGAAACAATCTGGCCAATACAAAATGTATACATGTGTACGTCAATGTACATCAATGTGTACAGATTCCAATAGAAATATTGAAAATGTATTTTGCCAACTCAAAAATAAGATTACTGACCCTGTTCCAAGGAAAACCCTGCCATTGGCACCCTCGATCATAAACACCATACAAGGACAACTCAAACGAAAAGATAAATCCCATTTAAAGTTCAACAATTTATTTAACCTACCGGTACTTATCACATCAATTTAACTTAATGCACCAAAACTCACACACACAAATAACTAGATTATTAAATCTAAATCATTATTAAATCACAAATAAACAAGGTACAATAGTCAAGTGTGATAGATGTTGTTGAGTTGTGCAGCACTGGTGCTTGAACTGCGTCGAGGTGTCAAGCAGGCCGATGATCCTCCTGTGGTCCTCTTAATTACGGACATTTCACAATCGGCCTATGTCCAACTCCATAACCTCACCAAAAACCAGGTTACAGCAAATAACCAGGTCTACCTGTCAGTTGTTATTGGCAATGACAAGGAGGCAAAACGGACATGGCAGACAAACAGCCGATGGACATCTCTGGGACTTTCCCAAGAAAACTCAATTCCAAGAACCTGCAACTGACTCCTGGACAGACTGGTACAAACTACATGTAATGTCCTGACGTGTCCGCCCTACAGTCTAGCCTCCAAGTGAAGAGCCAATGCCCTACACCCACTTTTTATACTCCACTTTTGTAGCAAAGTACTATATGAGAAATGCACATTATCTCAGGACCAACATCCTACCAGTAAATTCAACTCTACAGCAATTGACTTCTAATTGAATTAAGCAGCTTATGCAGTATAATGACAAGGGATTAGCCCAACAATCAAGTAGCAACGGTATGGGGCCCAATGAGATCAAAAACTCCCACCAAAATTCAGGTTAGGCCTCTTACTAAACTCCTTAACTCTCAACTGAAAGTTTTAAAACAAAGAATAACCGATTAGAAGCACTCCCCTTAATACATGAATAAAGAGAAAACATTACAAAAGAAACTTTACTCCCCTTTTACATCAAATTGTGACAGACCAAAAAATCACCAAATGCATAGGACATTTAAAAACACTTCTAAAAGCTAGGGAATTGTGAATTTTATGACAACCTTATATTTACAATTATAACCGTATATTTAACAAAAACAATAGTACAGGATTGAAAATGCCAATTTGCACACAAATATTATATATAACATGTAAGAGGATAAAATCTACTGAATAAATGTAGTTGTAGTGTTTCCGGTAAAATAAATTTATGCAAAACGAAGTTCAAGCACTTCATACCTGTACATGTACTAGGAATTTAAAGAATGGTTGAGCAACATACATGCACATGTATGTTAGGCTGGTACACGTAGCAGCCTGCGCCTTTTGAAGCCAATGATTAATTCAATCAAATTTTAGTGGCACTGAAAAATTGTCAGTCTGTGTAAGTTAATGGAAGAAAATTGTTTACATGTACTGTACTGTATTAGCTGTTGCAATTAAGGAACCGTAGGTACATGTAGACCTACCATACTAACTTGTACATCTGTAGAAAGGCTACCTCAGTTTTCACAGGCAGCATTTCTGCAGCTTGACCATGCAAAAGCATTTCTCTTTAGTTTCTTCAAATAAAGTGCCAAGAGAAATGGAATAACTTTCGAAAGAGCAATGAATTTTATAAATCTTCAGAACCAAAATGTAAGAAAACTGATTTTTCGATTATAGATTTGGTTGGTCAATTTTGAGCACATGACCGAGCCTCTTCGGCCACAAATGTTTGACAAGCATTGTGTATATGTGTCCCAGTATAGCGAACCCAATTTACATGTACTTGTAGGTTTTCTGTGGAACAACAGGCTCTTTCTCTAGCTCAACAGTCGTCTCTGGGAGATCATCCTTACAAAATACCTTGCTTGTAGAGAGCAAGTCAAATGCCTTACTTGTATGAATACATTATGCACATGGAAACTGCTACACTATTTTGGCCACAGTGCTTATCTAGGCCTAGTCCAGGTGGACATCAATAACCAAAGATATCTTTTTCCTTGTGTGGCAGTGCCGCTCAACCCCATTGACTATGCTGGAAGAGGTCATGACCCTTGACCGACTAGAGATTGCCACGACACTGGATAAGATCTTCCTTGGTCAGGGCATGATCCTACCCTTCCTGGATGCCCTGATTCGACAGGAGCTTCAGCAATCAAGTAAGTCAAAGTTTTCATGTCATTCCATACTTATGCTTGTGATGCTTTATGGAATCTTCTAAATGTAATTGAGAGTAAATATTAATAGTTGATATTACAGGTATTGGACAAATTCAGTCTCAACAATTGGGTACAACGATTTGAGAACATTCCTGAGCAGTGAAAGCTCATATTTTGTTTAATTATTCTTCTCTGACATATTTCTACCAGCTTGTTTGACAGATGGTACATTCATGTTTAAAATTCGTCTTCAATTTTTGCACGATACAGTCTGATTTTGCAGTGGTATAGCAATGTCATTTTGATTGGGAGGTGAATTTGCAAAAACTTCTCAGTATCTGTGCTGAAAGGCACTCAGGGTCCTGACACCAGCTTTTAGTGGCGGTTGCGCTGGCACTGTTCAAAGCAACTTCTACAGGAATTTAAGGCAGCGTTGTTCACGACCACCAAATGTAACATGAGTGAAGTACACTGACGTGTATGAGGAAAAAGGGTACATGTACTTGTTACAAAATACAGGAGGAGGGGGTTAAATAACCTCTTACCCCCTTGGATGTTGTGCTATTGTTCCGCCATGATTTTTAATTGACTTTATTTTCGTTCATTGCGACGTAAGGTAGAGTGACTGAGAATTTCAGGCCAGCTAGGGAAGATCTTGACAGTTCCCTCTGCAGCCAGTGCCAGGGCACCAGCTGGTGTGAAAGTGATTCCAGCTGGTGTGAATGCGATTCTTTCCACATGTCCCTTGTACCTGCCATCTGGGCTAAAATACTGTATATCACCCTCCAACAGCTGACCAGCATGTACAGTGACATAGATGTTGCCATGGCTGTCACAGCACAAGCCATGGGCTTTGCTCTCGGGAACGCTTGAGTGTATAACTGCAGAGAAAACAAAGTTGCCATCAATGTCAACTGCAAGTAGCTTTCTCTTGTCCTTGGTGATGTAGATGAAGTGGTTCTCGTGGGCGGTCAGTTGTTCACCGATCTTTGGGGCAGACAGCTCTTTGATCAAGCTTCCATCATCGGAGCTGTGTAGAGATATCTTGTTAGTGTCTTCGTAGCCCACTGCTATCCTATTCTTGTCATCCGACGCAAGGCATGATGGATTGCCCAAATTTCGTCCTGGTTCAAAGTGACGCAAGAGGTACGGATATCCCCTACGGAAGAATTTGACTTTTTGAACATCCAGAACAATAATATGGTCATCTTTACTCACGCAAATGTGAGACGGGTTCGTAAGGGTGAGAGGCATTTCTTGCGAAAAGACCTCCTGTTTGCTGTCCTGATAGAAAGTTATCAACTGTGTATGCCTTCTATCTAATGCAACTATTTCATTGTCAGAAAAAGCTGCAATGTCATCCACAAGTGCCAATTTTTTCATTTGTTCCCCAAAGCTTGATTCTCTTACTTTCCCCTCCCATTTCATCATCACTTTGTTGGTGGTGACAGCAGTCTGTGCTGATTGGTGCTGATCTGCCATGCCTACAGAGAAAAAAAGTAATGTTATTAGACTGTAATTTGTTATGATTCATAATGTCGAACTTTATTCTTTGATATGTATGTACGGGTACATGTAGGTGTGCATGTTCAGACTTTGGTTTCGAGTATCTGTGGATGGGAATATTCTGACCAGATGAATTTCTGCATAGTGGGGATTGAAATTGTGGTCTTTGCTTTGCTTATTAATGACAAAGTTATGTAAAACTCCAGTGTGTCTTTTATAAAATTCCTCATGACTTTGATTTTTTTTAATGGCATTCCTATGAAAAAGATGGCATTTTCTGTGAAATTGCTCTTCACATTCTGACACTATACTGACTTGTATGTACATGTACACTGTACATGTATATTGTTTTTTGACACACATACATGTACTTCTGCAGGCCAAGCTTAATACATGTACCTCTATATATGCATGTTTGCATTTTTGAAAAAAAAAAGAGTCCTTATTACATTCATTTTATTTATTAGGAACATTCCATATAAAGCATGATTTTTTGGTCTCCTTTGTTTTTCAATGAAGCATTCAAAATACACCTTTTGCCTGGAGCATATTGTGTATACGCCCTGTAAGCCTCCATGTCATGAAAATTGGAAAGGTAAATAGAGCTCCTGGGTATGTTGACACTTTTTATAGCCAGTGAGCCAGAAAGAATACATATTTTAGAGGTGGAATATATGGGGAACTTTCCCCACCTCTATTGAAATCCTTGTTGAATACTCAAAGGCCTTGCATCATACTGGGTAAGACCTGCTACAGAATGTCACAAAGAACTGTAAAAACTGTTTGACGAAAGGTGTGGGTGCACTTATGAACACATCCCTTTGCAAACATAACCTGTTGATATTTATATACATGTATGTCTCTAGATCTTTTGATACCGTAGAAAGGATAAATATTAAACTTTTGAATGGGAAACGTCTCACATTTAATGGGTTTAAGGCAAGTATGATTTGGTCAAGAAGTCAAAATTATATTTAAAAGGGTATTTATACAGTGAATTATCTGTGTAACTTCTTGTGTTAAAGCAACATGAGAGTTATGTGCAGTTGTAAACAATTATTTCAGTTCTGCATCATTTATTTACATATTTTCAATCCCAATTCATAACAGGAATATTTTTCACTCTGCAAAATAATTACATGTGCTTCCTGCATACAAGAAGTTGGTAAAACATTAATTTCAATTCAACTCAACGATGGAAATATTGGGTCGTACACTTTTATTGCCCGTAGAGTGTTACAACACAGTTTCACTGATTCTGATTTCCAAAAAAAGAAAGATAAAAAAAACAGTATTGAGGGAGGAGGCCTGGTTGCCATTTCAAAGGGTAAATATTCCATAATGTATGCAACCAGTTTGGATTTGACAATTTCTTTCTGTTAAATCTCTTCCTTTAAAGTTTTAAATGCATAAAATACTTATACAATAAGTCCACTTGTGCAGTGTTCAGAAAGCAGTATTGGAACAAAATTACCTTTATTTGGCACAGTCCCGTTGTTTATGAAAACAAATGTGCTGTGTGAAACATCTCCCAGAAAGACGGGACAGTTAGGAGCTTTGGTGTTGACTGCTCCAATCGGAGGAGAAACAGGTGACTTTGGAGCAGATGTTGAACCTGGTCCCCAAGTGGCAGACCGAATAACACCTATTGTTAAGAAAGGTGAAAAAAAGTCTGTTCCTTTAAACTGCATGGAGAAAATAGGATGCAACTTTGGGTTTTCAAATTTTTTAATGTCCAATTTTCCCCGTAATGTAAAAAAGTCAGGGTAATTCTACATACTCCCCGAAGGGTTAGGAGTTTTTTTCTTCCAATATTCAAGACGTCCCATGCTAACTGAAGACATTGTTGCTGTATTGTCAGATGAGGCACATACATGTACTCTGGCCACAGTGTCCGTGGCATTTTTCTGCATAAACTTTATGCCTGAATGAACCTTATTTAAAGAAAAAAAAACATTTAAAAGTTTGCTCATTGATTCCTTGTCATACACAGGTGTCAAAGAGAACTCCAAAAAGTATACAATTTCCACTCAAATTGTGCCATTTTTTGTCACTAGAGCAGCTGTAGATGTAATGACGCTTTTTTTGCTCATGAATATGTGGAAATTTACTAAGTATGAAAAAAAAATTAAAAAGTGAACAATGCTATCAATTTAAAGACTAAATATTGAAAGTACATGTAAATGGTCAGAAAAGGCATATCACTGATTAATTACGTATAATCCCCTTCTGAAATACAAGTACATTGTATATGACAAGGCCTTATGGATAATGTTGTTTGATACATTCATATAAAAAGGTACAGATCTGTTAATTTATTATAAACCCCGTAAGATTTCTGAGGGTTTATTTGAAGACATCGAAGACATGTTATTTATAGCCTACTCCAAGATGACTGCACCATAATCTGCAACATGTGCTACACGCGTTCATGCAAACTCATGTGACTTTTACTTTGGAATGTGCATTCACAAAAAGGAGGAAGCCTCTCTACAGCAGTTGCCCCCAACTATAAACTTAGTGCTGAATCTTGAGCTTGAATCCTATGGATCCTACGGGCCTTCCAGTTCTGTTGAATTTGACTGATGAACAAAGCTGCCATTGAAACCCATCCTTTTTAGTGTAACCAATACTGAATTTATGTATCGAAACTCACAGAAGCACCAAAGATAAAAGTGTATTTACCTTCACCCTGCCTCCTCATTCCACCTTGTCGCTTGACTGATGCCATCATCTCTATGAATCATTTCATGTTGTACCTGTTTACTTGAATTGCTTTTGAAGACAGAGCAGAGTTTGAAGACCCTGACAAATCAAATCAAACATGTAACAATGGTACATTTACTGGTACCAGAACAGGATGATCTTATCCAGATGATTTACTGGAAAAAACTTGAGCAATATCAACCTGTGTGCATCCATTTAGATTTTTAGCATGGCTAAAATATTGATTCATTTGTTTACATTTTGTGGTTTACAAAATTCTGTCTTGGTCAGACATGTAAAACAGGCCAAAGATAAAAATATATTACGTTTATATATATACGTTTTGGGAGGTCAAACATGCTGAAAAATTACTTCTGTCTTTTGGATTTTCACTACTTTATCTCTTTTTGTTTTGACAGAAGAAATCATCATTCAGAAATGAAAAAAATGAATGCCAAAGCTTAGGTTATAATCAAACATGAAGCTTGTTGTGTTTAAAAGCACGAATTTGATGACATTATTTCAACAAAGCCACCTACAATATACAGATACTTCAGAGTTAAGACTTACATGTAAATGTAAATCGTAAGAAGAAGATAGAGACAAAAATTAGAAATTCACTTCTGTGACTTCCATTAAATTGTCAGATACTTCTAATGATATAACTCATGCTTACTATGGAGCAAAACTAAACACACTGTTTTCAAATAAAGTCATTGTGCAAGGTCCAACAAAACCTGCATCGGCATACGGTACATGCACTTCAGATAATCCGAACTCAACAGTAAAAACTTACATACATGTGTATACGTACATATGCTACCGGTACTTCAAAGATGATCACTTTTTTCTGTCAGCAAATACATAGGTGAAATTAAATGCAAGTGAAATGCGGTTTGCAAGTACATATACAAAAAGTTTGCTATGTACGGTACATGTAGCAGGAAGATTTGAGGCTTTGCATGGTAGAAGTTACGTGAGCAGGAAGTACATTGTACAGGTGTAATGCGTTGAAAATACATGTACACAGAATGCTTCCGATTTCACAATAGACAGTATGACATTACACATGTCACTACCTGATTGGATCTTGGATCTACCTGGTGCATGCATGACAATTGGCTATTTAGAATGTTGATTTTGAGCCGTTGGCAAAGCCATGGTTCTGAGATGTCCATAATAGCAGTGCGATGTCAGCTGACATGGTCATTGGATTGTGCAGGGATATACATGTATACATGTAGAAGTACAGTACAGTTGGGACAAAAAGTTTACATACACGTACATGTACATGTACACTTGCTAGAAAAACCGTTTTCCTCAATTTTTGCTGTTTTGTCAACTTTTTCTCTTTGAGGACAGACAAATTGTATCTCAACTTCATAGCGTGTACTTCAACTGAAAATGCTCAGAGAAATTTATATGTTTCAAATTTTAATATTTCTGAAAAATCATTCTGTGAAAATTTACATGTACCCCCTTATTGTTGTTCAAAAATGCTTCAGAAAATGGTCCACTGCGACTATGAGATAGTGGCACAAAATAAGTATTTGGGTTGGAGTGTGTGAATTTTTGATTTGTTTTTGTAAATATAAATATGAAATGTACATATATGTCTCTGGGTGTTTTTATTTGATGCATACACCATGTACCTTAAGTAGAGACCCATCTTGTCTGTCCTTATGAAAAGAAAAATTGGTAGTTAGTGAAGTTGTGAAATTTGAGGAAAACTGTAATGCACATTAAAGCTTTTTGCCCTATCTGTAGGTGTCATTTACACATAAGTCAGGGCCACAGTCCATTGACCATGCACAATTAAACATTGCATTAGTGACGAGTATGTCTTGGATCACAGACTATTCTTCACACTAAACAAGTCCTCGTTACCTGTAACAGTAGACTAGTAAATAGAAGTTTGAGTCTTGGTAGTACAAATAACAGTATCCTGGAAAAGCCCCAAACTTTTATAGCTTTGATAATCTATTTGTAGGGTTTTGGCCTGTAAGCATTTAAGTTAGTAAACTTTAACCCTAACACTCATCAGTCCTCCAACAGGTGAAGGATTGAGGAATGTTAGGGTTAAATTAAGGTTACTAAATCAGCATACTGTATACATATCATTCAAAAGTAAAAACTTTCATTGGAAATACATATATTTTCCCTCCTTTAAATAAAAATGTACAAGGTGAAAATCTAGGAACAAATGTGGCGCATATGTATTAATGACCGATATTTGTATTCTCATTTTTTTCATTGAAATCTTAAAATCACCAACACTGAAAGCCTTGCGACCATTTGCTGTAGTTTTTAACCAAAATTTGACCAAGTAAGTGGCAATGAGACTGGGGTACAGTACAATTTTCACTATTTGCTTCAGTGTTTTGGAATTGAATTGCCATATTTGTGCTTGGAATCTGTAATTTCATCGGCCTAAAATGGTCACATGATCATTCTGAAAGTACAATTTTCACTATTTGCTTCAGTGTTTTGGAATTGAATTGCCATATTTGTGTGCTTGGAATCTGTAATTTCATCGGCCTAAAATGGCCACATGATCATTCTGAAAGTAATTACATTACACAGTCACCCTAATAATCCACTGTGTGTTGCATGTGTGTGTAAAGCCTGCATGTGCACTTGACTGAGAGCAGGAATATCTACAGTTAGCAGAGTTGTTCCTTGTTGAAAATTTTGATTTCGCTGTCCATATGTCTTTATTTCTGTTTTCAGCGCCCTTCTCTTTGATGTCTGTGATCTTGGTGCTGTCACATCTGACTTATATGTTTTCTCATCTTTCAGAACTAGTTTCCCAACAGGCCTGCCAGTACCTTCCTCAAAATCCGTGAAGGAGGACACACTGCATGGCAATCTCTCAGGTTGCCCCTCATCTATCACTGCTTGAAGGATACAGAGAAGTTTCTCCCTGAAATCCAGAATTTCATAGCAACTTGCCCGAGCCACAAGTTGGTTTATTTCTTCCAGCTTGTTCTTCATCTCAGTTGCACATCTTATGCTTGTGGCCCAAGTACTTTCTAATGACTTGGTTCTGTCTTTGAAGATTGAATGGGATCTTTGTGCTAATTTTGACTCTTCCTCTCTGATTTGTGAGATTTCCTCTTTGATCTGTGCAACCTCCTTATCAGCCTTTCTGGAGATTTTTTTGCAGGTATTTTCGTACATGGTATTTAGATTCTTGTGGGTACACTGTATATTCTACTTCACTGATGTACTCATTCAGATTAATTCTGTTTTGTTCAGCTTTTACAGACATTTCAGCAATGTCTTGTTTACATTTATCTGAAGCTTTGGCTAGACCAATGCGAGAGTGTTTGTCATGATCTAGAATAGCACAAGTTGTACACACCAACTTCTCACACTCTGTACAGTAAATGGAAAGGCTCTGATTTGGATGCTTCATACATTTAGGAGTGTATTCTCTTATTTTACTCTTTTGACATGTTTGAGTTACAGGTACGTCTCCTGATTGAAGCTTAGCCAGTGTGTAGATTGTGTGAGATTTCATTGAGATCAATTGTTTGTGTACCTGTTGACATTCTTTGCAGAGAAAATGACAACAGTCCATGCATTTTGATACTGCCCAATTCTCCTCATCACAAGCTTGACACTTGATATCTGCTTAAAATGGCACCTACATGTAGGTACTACATGCTTGTCAAGGAAGCCAACTGACAAATGGAGTGGTAGACACCTGTATATTTGTACTTCTGTTACACCTCCTTTTGCAAACTCAGATCCTCAATTTTCACCCTCTAATTTCTCTACTGAAATTTTTGACAACCTGGTCTTGTTCCAGATGATGTTGAATCTACTATATTTTTTAAGTCTCAAAGTCATGTCATATTTAGCCTTTACTTTTTATACAAATAACTGGTAAAGATGAAGCAGAATATGAAGATGAGCTTGACAAATAAACCAATCATTAATTAATAGTGCATTTAAGAATCTGGAATCTTCCAATATTTAACAAAAAATGATTCCCAATATTTATTACAAAAGGCAACATACATGTACATGTATGCATCAGCACCGTTATACCCACCCTGACCACAGTCTGACAGTGGTAAATCATCTCTTTTCTTTTTGTTATATTACAAAGTTAAATCTAAGTGTGAGACAATGAAACAAGTTAGTTGATACCTTAGTTTTTCTGCTAAAATTACATCAGCAACATTTTAAAAGTATGTGTCTAAAGAAAAAAAAAATCAAAATACACTTCATTTCAAGTGGATTTCCACAGAATTTGTTATCCAGTGTTTTTCAGCATATTTACTATTGATGCACACCTTTACATACATGTACATATATATATGTATGCCTGTATTCATAGTTCATAGTTTATAGTACATTAGTTTAATCTTTATTTTGACATGAATTTGACATGTACATGTAGTGCACATAACATAAATGACTTCACACATCACTGAGTAAATATTAAAGAGTTATTTGAGGATTCTACTTGTAATATTGAGACTTTGATCTTGAAAGGAATTTGTAGAAATTACAAAACTTCTCTTTTGTGAAGGCCGGTTAAACTTACATATAGAGATATTGTGACATACATGTACGACTCATACAGTGTACATGACTTAGAGCAGAAACTTTCAACAAACTCATTGCTTTGATTACATGTACCGCTGGATGTCTATGTAAATAATTTGAAACAAACAATCTAATTTACATTATATACAGAGGTGTCCTGAGTAGTTTCTAGATCTGCAAGCTTTTCAAAGCGGAATTTCCATTGTCTTGTTCAAATACGGAAAATGATGCAGTCATTAAGGTGCAAGTGAAATGCAGTTTGCAGCTGGATGTACAGAAAGTTATCTACATGTACAATGTACATGTGTGTAGTAGGCAATGATGTGATAAAAAAAAAACCTTTGTGTTCTGACCTAGTATTGTACTACCTTTTGAATGCATGACTGGGTATTTGTGATATTGAACAAGTCCTTGTTGTGCACCTAGATATACGAATACAGGTACGAACACTGTACCTTGACAGTAAAAGTACCGGTACATAAATTTAGCCTGAAAGAATAAGCAGTATTTCACCTTTTGAGAAATTAGTATAGAGTGTTTGTGTTGTTAACTTTAAGTAAGCTAACATTTAAGCTTGGTCTCTTTAGTGTTAGAAAATTAGCAACCATTGTTTGAGGACAACATCACAGATATTTATCATTTTTTTCTGTTTTCAAAATTCTTTAAAAATTCCTATCTTCATTTACTGGACACTTACAAACACGTAAAGGACTGTCTAGTGTCCACTCTAGCCTGACAGACAAATCTATTGATGCCTGAGTATTTCAGCCAGGCCTGCAGCCATTTAAAAAGAGCCCAGATTTTGTGGTGTTATGTAATATTCTTTTGTTCACGAACCTGGCTCAGTGCGCTGCTGACCTCTTTTCCATAGGGGCCAGATTAGCATGAAGCAGTGCTATGTGGCTCATCGCTGCGGTGGTGGAGCGTTTTCGTCCCCGGTGGTAATCCGCTCGCTCTAAATGCCCCAAACTGTAGTATACTGTTTCAAAACAAGGCAGGATTATCACCACTTTTGAGAGTGAAAAAATGTCGGTAATGCCCAGCAGCCTGGTCTTTTGTTCGGAGTACGGTCTTTTGTTACAAGGCCCTGTTTCCTTTACATGTAAAAATAATTTATTGTGCCCTCATGCAAGGGTAATACATAAACATATATAGCTATGCACATATGTTTTCTGCATGTCTAGTTCTACTTAAAGGTTAACAGAAATTGAAAACATATAGTTCACGTGAAGTATTTCAAATAACAATGAAATACATGCCGGTAACTTATTTCAAAAACATCATAAATTCAATGTTTACTCCATTAATCGTGACCTCAAAATGGATAAAAAGACCCTGCGTTTCCCTGCCCACAAAAATCCCCTTTTGGCCGCACTCCCAGGCTGATTTGATGTCATCAGGAGAACGCCTACATGTACCGGTACAGTGTACATGTACATGTACATTGCATGATTTCACACGGTACATGCAGTGTTGTACGCATGCAATACCACGTTGTGTTCAATGTAGCTTGGCCCACAAGCAAACACTGCCTCAGTTCAAGAAATACACGGTAGGACTGTGTCTTTTAATTTTTACCTCAAGTTCTTAGCTTTTTCCACGGTCAACTGCTTTATTTGCTGAAAATGGCACCTGTTTAGAGGAAGGCAACTTACATACTGCTTTAAATGGAGAATACTATCTACATGTACTTGTACTTTCATCACTCCTCCCTTTGTATGCTCAGACAGTTACCCTTCTCCCCTGAAGTTTTTGACTTCCTTCTTGTCCTAGGTGATGTTGACACTATTTTCTTACTGAAGTCTCCAAGTCGGGTCATGAACCTTTATTTGGATTGCTAGGCTAATTGCAATGGTGACTCATCTACATGTACATGTATTTCCATTTTTGTAATTACAAATTTCAGTCTTAGTTGGAGATATGAAACGAGTCAAAGGTACCTCAAATTGGTACTTACATGTATCAGTCTGTGCTTAATAATACATGTACATCAACCTTTTTGAAAGTTTACACTTGCCAAGAAGAAGTTCTTCCAAAAATACACTTCATTTCCAGTGAATTTCCACAAAATGTTTCATGCCAATTTGTTTTTACCTGTACATGTATAATTTTTGCATACAATCACAGCATACATTTCATAATATGTTAATTAATAGTTCAGCTCTGTATATACAGTGGAAGAATTTAATCTCTATTTTGTCTACTGATCTTGAATTATAGGAAACTATGAATGGTACAAGATTAAAAACAATTTGACATTCAGCAAATTAAACACTTCATGCTGGGGCATTTTTCAATGTTGATGATGCTGGGCCAGCATAATTATCATTTTCTCTGTTTTCAACATTCTTCAAAAATTCATCATTTCATTTAACGGACGTTTATAGCCGCACGAAGTAATCTTTAGGCACTACTCAAAGTTGACAGGTGACCTTCATTGATGCCCGAGTATTTCAGCTAGGCCTGCAGCCTTGTAAAAAGAGCCCAGATTGTGTGGTGTTATGTAACTTTCTTTTGTTCATGAACCTGGCTCAGTGCACTGCTGACCTCTTTTCAAATTTCAATAGGGGCCAGATTAGCGTGCTGAGGTGCTGTGTGGCTCATCGCTGCGGTGGTGGAGCGCTTTTGTCCCCAGTGGTAATCCGCTCGCTATAATTAAATGCCCCAAACTGTGGTATACTGTTTCAAAACAAGGCTGGATTATCACCACTTTTGAGAGTGAAAAATGTTGCTAATGCCCAGCAGGGCCCTGTTTCCTTTGTCCGCGTTCGGAGACCCCGGCCATGCATATAAAGCATACCTCTCCGATTCCAGAGTCCCCGGCAGGAAGTGGTTAAGCCTAGCTTATACATAAACATAAAAATTCCTTTTCAGAGAGAGTGATTTTGACCTACCTGACATACATTGTAAACAATGTACACATGAAGTCACACTGAGCAAAATATTAAAAGTATACTAATGAATGAACACCTCAATTATGAAAGCCATTTGTTAAAGTTAGCCAATTTTTTTTCTTTTTGATGTCTTTTGAAACTTCCAGATATCGCACCAGACATACATGTACATGTACTGGTATATAGAATTATGCACAACTTTATAAAGCAGAAAAAACATGCATCAAAATCAAGCCTGTTATTCATGTTCTGACAATACAGGTAAGTGTACCTGTACGTATACTGCATATCAGATAATTTGAATCAATCAGTAAAAACTTGCGTACAGGTACATATACGTGTACATGTATGTAGAAGTGACCTCAGGAGATTGTAAATATGCCACTGATGTTTCTAGATGGGATCATACACTATCCTGTTTAAATATAGAAGATGGTGTATTCATACTGGTGCAAATGAAGTGGAGTTAAAAGGTGCAAATGAAGACGAGATAAAAAGTCAGTGCAGCTTGATATATACTTACAGGTCTCCATGTATATTAAAAAAATGCAATAAAAAATTTCCTGCATTCTAACCTGGTAGTGTGCTGCCTGGCGAATGCATGACTTGGGCATTTGTGGTGTTAATATTACTTTTTTGATTCTGGACAACCCTTTGTTGCCTGTTTTATTAACTGGGCCTTTATCCAATACTCAACTTCGGCTCTGTCTCAGGCTTCAACTGTACCTGTATGACATACATGTAGTTGGCAATGCATCCGGAGGACACATCACACTCGCGCTTCACGTGGGGAGATTGACGCAACTGTTTTTTTTTACTACCTGACTTTGAGGCTGTAGAGCACAGTAGTAAGTCTGATAGTGCCACAAAACATCAAGTAAGATGCAAAAGAGCCAAAAATTACAGAACTTCTATTTAGTTTACATGTAAACACTTCAGGCTCACAATCGGGAATTGGTTTCAGAGACGAACCTGAGACGGAGACAAATTGAGTATTGGAAAGGGCTCTGGCATGCAACTGTTTCTTGGATCAGCTGAGTTGCTTGTTTGTTGCCTCAAGTGCAGCATTAGAAATTGAAAAATACTTCACAAAAGTCAAGTGGAGTTTTGAATTTCATCATTTTTATGGCATTCTCAGTTCTGTGCCTGTAATAAACATGTGAATTGTTTTGACCTTGGCAGTAAACAAGTCCAAAACTTCAGCTCTGTGAAATGATACTAACAGTCCTGACCTTTTTTCAGGTTTTTATAATAAATGCACAGGCCCTTATCTGCTGGGCTCTTTTTAAGAATTTCCACTGTTTGTGTATTATATTATTGTTGTTTGTGGACAAAATAAGGCATGCATGATAACTGCTGTTGAGCTACTCCTCTTCAAAGGTTGTAATAACAATAAATAATGTGGACAAAATGGGTGCGTTCGAGCGAGGTACTTGCGTTAACACGAGTGCTTCCCCCGAAGGGCACGAACAGCAGGAGTACACCCCGCGGATCGGCGAGAGTATACTCCCCGTCATGCAACAGTATACTCCTGACCCAAGAGTAATGCGTGCGCATCATCACTCGTGTTGACAGGAGTAACTGTACGAACGCACCCAATAGGGACAAGATACAATGAAATAACAACAGGAATTTACCCACCTACCGGTACATGCATATGATGCAGCAGGTGGCCTGACTTATTGGTACGGACTAAAGTTTGAAGCAGGCACCTACAGTACAGTACCGGTACATACATACACCTGTTGGACGGTTGTAGCCTGAGTTTGCATCATTAAGTGAACTTCCAGGTAAGCTTTCTGTAAAATTTGAATGCTTGAATGATTTCAGTGGCATACATCTCAGAGGGGACGGGGGTATGGAATATGTAGCGGTACATATATGTAACTTCAAGTATCTATAATAAGATGAGTATTTGCACATGAATTGCATGAATTTTATGCATTTGTATGGTTGTGAATTGCTGCTTTGTGCAATGGCAAGTTTTATGTACATGTACAGTACATGTAAGAAGAAATTATAACTTAAAGCAAGGATATACTGAGTCATCTGAATCGACCGTTTTCCTGTAGTTTTCTTGATGTACATGTACCTTAAGAGTCTCTACATCCTCGTAAAGCTCTCATTTCTGAAATTCTTTCTGTTTTTACTGCAACTTTGTCACCGAATCTTAATTCCTTTGAAAGGTGTTATTTCAGTCACCATGTAATATGTTTTGAAGGTACATGCATCACACAGAAGCACCCCAATATTTTCACTACTTTAGTCCAAATTGCAGGAAAGAACTCACAGAAATTTGGCAAAAGGTACATGCATGCCACATCAAAAAGTCAATTCCATTTCATATGCACTGCTATTTCATTACTGCCCTCATCGACATTCAAACTTAACAAAGTAAAAATACTTAAAAACTCAATTGGTCCTTTATGTTGGTTTAGAAACTACATGTAGTCCATCAATCTCACTTGCTGTTTTACCCAAAACAATTTTCGTGGAACAGTGAGGTAACGCCATTTTAAGGTTTGAAAGACTTGTCAAAAATGTAATTCCTTTGCTGTGGAATTGTCCTGTAGAAAAAGTTACAATCACTGACTGACGTAACTACATGTACATGTACATGTAATTGGCTTGATACAGTGGTGGAAAACAGTTGTTGACTGCTGTGATGTGGAAAAGCCATTTTTATACATACGTGTACATGTACCGTACTTCTTTTGGGGCACACAGCATATCTGTGGAAAAGATATCAAGCAGTTTTCATGTGAGGCTTGTATCCTATATATACCGGTACTTTGTCATGTTCTCTGTACATGTGGTGAATGTCCAACTGCCTGCATATATCAAAGAGTATAGTCATATTTTTGAGCTTTTGATATGCTTCTTCACACCTGATGATATACTTTAATACTGTCCCATGTTGCCAACACCAGCTCACCAGCTGGTGTGAATGTGATATCACCCGGATAACCACATTTATCGAGAACACATCCAATGTAATGTCCATTAGGATCAAATTGCTGAATTTCACCTTGTAATGGCTTTCCATGTATAGTAACATAGATGTAACCATCTTTGTCACAGCACAGACCATTAGCATGCCAAGGTCCTTGAATATTACTGGGAATATCAACTGCAAAGACTATGCGACCGTAGCAGTCGACTGATAGCAACTTTCCGTCCACTTCTGTGTTGATAGAGTAGATTATACTTATTAACTGCTGTTGCTTTCTCAAGAGTGTCAAATTATCACCAATCATTGGAGCACGCAGTCTCCTGATGAGGGTTCCATCTCGTCTGTGCAGTGAGATCTGTTCTTTATCCCTGTAGCCCACTGCTATCACATCTCCACCTTCAACTGCGAGACATGTTGGTGTACTGTTTGTCTCTTCACCCGGTTGGAACTGATGAAGGCAGGGCTTCTTTTCGATGTTGAAGATCTTGACAGTAGTACCATCAAGAACTATGATTTCATCATCACTGTTAACTGAAACATGGCTTGGTTTTCTGAGACCTTCAAGTTGAAGCTCTTCCGAGATGACATTTGGGTAAAGCTCTCGCTCTCTGAAAGTGATCAACTTGTTTTTCCCCCGTTCTAATACTACCATCTCATTGTTTGACAATGATCCAATTTCATCAGCAAGTACAAGGTTTTGATTTTGGTGTCCATATGTTGTTATTTCTGTTTTCAGCTCCCATCTCTTTGATGTCTGTGATCTTGGTGCTGTCACATCTGACTTCAGTGTTTTCTCATCTTTTAGAACTAGCTTCCCAAGGGACCTGCCAGTACCTTCCTCAAAATCCATGAAGGAAGACATACAGTGTGGCAATATTTTGGGTTGGCCTTCAGCTATCACTGCTCCAAGGTTATGAAGAAGTTTCTCACTGAAATCCAGAATCTCGTAGCAACTTGCTTGGGCCACAAATCGGTTTACTTCTTCCAGCTTGTTCTCAATCATAGTCACATGACTGACGTTTGTGGCACGAGTAGTTTCCAGTACCTTTGCTCTGTCTTTGAAGATTGTATCTGCCTCCTGCTTCAGTTTTGATTGTTCCCCTCTGATCTGCTCAATCTTCTCTCTGATCTTTGCAACCTCCATATCAGCCTTTATTGATATTTTCTTACTGGTATTTTCATACATGGTTTTGATATCTTTATCAGTTTTGTCTACTTCACTGATGTAGGCCTTTAGTTTTGTTTTGTTCCGTTCAGCTTTCTCAGAAATGTTGGCAATGTCTTGTTTGCATTTGTCCAAAGCTTCAGGTAGGCCAATGCGTGGGTGTTTGTCATGATCTAGAATAGCACAAGTTGTACACACCAACTTCTTACACTCTGTGCAGTAAATAGAAAGGCTCTGGTCTGGATGCTTCATGCATTTAGGAGTGTATTCTCTTATTTTACTCTTGTAAGTTACCTCTCCTGATTGAAGCTGGGCCAGTGTGTAGATTGTGTGAGATTTCATTGAAATCATTCGTTTATGCGCTCTTTGACATTCTTTGCAGAGAAAATGATCACAGTCCATGCATCTTGACAGTGCCTGATTCTCCTCGTCACAAGCTTGACACTTGATTTCTGATCTCTGACCTTCCAGTAGTGTTTCTTGCATATTCACTTCATCCACCAATGCGCTTAGTTTGAAGTCAGTTGGCAAATCGCAGATATCTCCTTTTATAGTGGTTTTACGTCTGCAGATGGGGCATTCCAGTTCCACATCTTGTGGATGTTGACTCTGTCTCAGTCTTTGGAGGCATTTAAGACAAAAGCTGTGCAGACAGTCAAGAACCTTGGGTTCCCTGAAACGGTCTGAGCAAATAGAGCATTCTAGATGACCTTGACTTATCTTTTCCAACACAGATTGAGCTGTAGCCTTTTGCTCTGTTGATGCCATTTTTTAATGGGAGATGGCTGTGAAATCAAAGCCAGAGAAAACAAATGTACATATATAGATTTATTGTTAATTAAATATCTATAGTATATTTTACAGCAATATTAAGGTAGGTCACCAAAAGAGAAAAAAAAATTCACACCAACTTGACGTAATTCTTGGTAGGGGGGAGGCTGGAACCTACCAAAAGCAAAATATCAGTTAATGGCATTTTGAGATTTGTATTTTTACATTCCCAGTTTCCTGAATTAAAATATTCTTTGCCACCCCCAATAATATAACTGTAGACTTTCTTCTGAACTTGCCATCAGAAGGATTTTTATAAATATCCCAGAACATGAGGTGATACACATTGAGGCCCATGAAAGTTGATCTCAAGGTTCTCATCAGCCACTTGTGGAAAAGTGATGAGGGTTTTTCATCATCTTTCATTAGCAGATTTGTCTGCAAATTTGACATAGGATTTTCTTTCAAATTCATCACACTCGCACTTTGCTTAAAGGTTGAACTTTTTTCAAAGGTTCTTAACTGTAAAAAAAGTATTTGAATCGATTGCAGAGAGAATAGATTTTTCTAAATTCAACAGGACAAACAAAGTTCTGCAATTTATTGAACCCCCCCCAAAAAATGAAATCCTTTCCTGAGTTGCATGAGTTGACAGCGAGAATCACATGAAGCTTTGGAAAACTTGCGGTACCACTTTCTTGGATGATCCAAAGCAAGACCAGGTATGGTATTTGACCATTGGGGATTTTCACTGCCAAACAATGCACTAGTCTGACGTTGGGCGCGCATCGTGCCAGTTCCCTTGCCGCGCATCAAGCACCATCATATGCAACATGCTTTAGCCCATTCTGGCGACAGTGCACTGATTGTCAATCAAAACTGACTCGGCCCTGTCGGTGACTTGACTGTAATGCATACTACCTCGTGCACATGTATATGTACCAGTACATGTGCACACACAAATATGTACATCCATATTACATTTATCATGAATCATGAGTAATTTGACTCCGCCAACATAACCTCACTGGCATAAATGTTTCAAAAAAATGCCTCTACTCCCTCAATTTATTACTGCTTTACAACTGTGACCATACTGTACATTTCCAAAACAACCAGCACATTTGATGTATTGGCAAAGAGGTCAATTCGATATAACAGTGCTATAGCATTCGGTTTTTAGACTGACGATCTTGACACTGTTTACAAAAGATTAAAGGTGAACTTTCTGATGTGGGCCTAAATTTCCATGCAGGCAGTGATGAGAACCATGAGATCAACTTTCATCTGCAATCTATCAATATTTTCTCTGTTTTAGTCGTAGTATAACTTGATTCTTGGAAATCAGCATTTCCTGGGGGTCCCTACAGGTAGCTTTTTATCAGAAGATTAGTGCGACCTACAGTACTGCATGGTGTCAGTTATGGCAGAAATTTTCTAAGTGGGGAGGCAGTTGTGAAAACGTGAGGCATCAGCCATTGACCGACCGATCTGTTAAGACCCACCCCATTATACCGTTGGACCTGCCAAAAGTGGGGGCAGTGCCTCCAGTCATAAAAGTGGGGGAGGGAGCACCCCCCTCTGCTGCCAGTGACTGGTGCACTCGGACACAGGTCGCAATGGTCACAGTTCATGATCAGTGTTTTATTCCCCAGTGACAGCTACTGTAGTCACAACTCATATCGGTACCTTGGCTAATTAAGTGTAAGATTCTAGTCAGCTGCGGTAGGTTGATTGTGATAATCATACATGTAAGTTGTCTCCCCAATCACTTGAGTAAGTTTTGTAGGTGTGGTTTCCCAAGGGGCCACTCCAAAGATGCCATGCTTGTCCTCTTCATCCCCCCCCCACAACTTACAAAGAAACCCCGAAGAAAATGACCATTCCTAGCTGCTAGGCCACTTGTGTGATGCACTTTTTCATTGTTTTCTTGTAACCGTGGGTCGGACCAGCCCTCAGCCACAGTATGCATTATTCTCATCGTCCTGCACGTAGTAGTCGTATACATGTATGTGTCGGAAGGCACTGTTCGAGAACCACCAAAATGACGTTGTCATAGGAAGTTTCTTGAATAGCCTCCGTGCTCTGTTGTTTGACCGGTGAGTCGCCATAGTGCGCAAAGTGACAATGTCATTTTGATGGTTCTCGAACAGTGCCTTCCATAAGTGTCAGGAATTAAATTCAACTTTGTCTTGTTCTTGAATCACTTACTTGATGCTTAGGTAGAGTTTGCTTTGGAGTATACGAGGGAAGAACAGCTTTGGTCTGAATTCAGCACTGTGAGCCTGTGAGGGAGCGGTACAAGTAGGCTTGTGCTGATGACTAGGAACGCTGCAGTAAAAATGGTGGCACTTCCCTAATTTATTTTTAGACATGGGGTAGATCAAGTGTTAACATCAAGCTTATCTGCGCATGCACAGAGGGATTTGTTGTATTACATGTATTGTACATATACACATGCCACTGAGTCCACACTCAGCTATGAATTTCTATACATGTACAGTCACTGTTGAGTTATAGACCTTGAACTTTAAAATGAACATACTTTGTTGGTATTGTTGAATCTCGATAATAAGAGCAATGTTAATGCAACATTTTGCTTATAACAAGGACAATTTTAGGTCCCCATCATGTGTTTTCATTTTTTCCATTCCTGATAATACAAGGTTCCTGTTACAACATTTGGAGGTTTACATCAGGTCTTTGCTTTTTTGGTAATTTCTTTGACAAGTCACACTGTAGCATATTTGTTATGCATCTTAGTTGCAATTTGGGGGCAGCGCAAGTTAACAACAACTGAATGTGTTAATGAGGAGGGTGAACTTACCTTCATTAAATGGATCTCTTCTCTTGAGCATCAGAGAGGGTGATTATCTGACCAAGAAAGCCGGGGTATAGGTTGTTTCGGGTCCTCAAAAGAGACTGATGTTGAGGTTGCTTTCTTATTGAATTCTGTTTTAAAATGCAAATTATTGCAAATTCTTATTTTTCTTTCTCCAAAAAATTTTGCTCTAAAATTGTTCCTGAACTTTCATACAAAAGGCAGTTTCAACGTCATGAAGCGAATGTTAAGATTCAAGACAACTGTGTATCCTGAAGATGATAAGCACTTCTCTCATCATTGTACTGACAGTTTTTGTTCCAGTTTTTTTTACCTTGACTTCTGACAGTGACCTTTCCAACCAAAATTCCTTACTTTGTGCCTTTTGAAAACGTTGATATAGGTAACATTTTAAAATGAAAAAGAGCTAATTCAGATGCCACAGAACTTCAGATGGTGTTTGCTAGAGATGAGGAGCCAATTCATTTTAATTATGTAATGTGAAATTTATATTGTAGAGCAAAACCACAAAATTATGCTGCACAACATTGATCAAATTACCATTACGCTAATTAATAGATTCTGTTTCATATTTAGGCCCTGTTAGGGTTAGGGTTTGAAATGTTTTAAGAATGTGTTGTTATTGAGTTGCAGGAAGGGGTTTCAGAGTGGTCTATTGCATTGGGATTGAGATTTGAAAAGATAAATTCGTGTGCTGATGCACGCAGTGTAAAACTTTAGTCTGTACAATAAAATGAGTAAAAGGGAATGAAATTTTATTTTGCAACTGGCAAACAAAACTCTGGTGCCTGTTGTATCTGCTGTGACACATTAAAGTTTTTCAACACAACAGAATTTTTTGTCCTACAAACCCTGTAAACTATGTTGACCAGGTTAATAAACAAATGTGTAATATGTGTTATTGGAGAGTTTGAGGCACTGATTGTAGCAAACATTCCAATCCTTTTGCATGTTCTGAGCATGAGCAAAGGAAAGATGTCTGCTGCCATCAGTGCCTGGAAAGTCTTCTGTCATTGTGTGTTACACAGACAGACTAAAACAAGTCTCCTTCTATCCTCCCTTCACTGTAGGTGACATCAACACACTGTTCCGAGGCAACTCATTGGCCACCAAGTGCTTTGATCAGTTCATGAAGTTGGTGGGTATGCCTTACCTCCTTGAAACACTCCAGCCCATCATAGATACCATATATGAGGAGAGGAAACATGTGGAGCTGGATCCTTGCAAAGTGGGCAGCATCAGGAGGTAGGATTCTTGTATAATCTCCTCAACTTAGGAACTTTGGGAATTAATTGACAACAAACTCCTTACCTTCGTTGATTCAGCATTTGGCAAAATCTTGACAAGTTCAAACTGTTCACCTGTTTTACTTTGATTGTAACTAACTGGTTCCCTGGGACTTGCCTGCTAAATCCAACAGAATCAGACACTGACTTGTGTGGGTTTCCTGCTTATCAGTCCACCAAAGTCCAACAGCCTGAGTTTCCTGTGCTTGCTGAGCCAAAAGAATCTGTTGTACTCTGCCTTATTTTTCTGTTGTCTGCTCAACCCAGCAGAACTGTAACTCATGTCAACATTACTGTGCACAATTATTGGTTGCCTTCTCAATTTAACAGGGCCAAGCTATTACAGTTTACTGTTACATACAAATTTCAACTTGGAGTAGTTGAAAGAGTTTTACCACTCAATCTATCAGGATCCAGTCGTAGGTACAGATTGTTCGATCCTGACATTGGTTTTAGTATACCGGTAGTTGGGGGTACATGGGACTTCGATTTTCAAGGATGCTATAAAGAATATAAAATTTCTGAGGAGTTAGGGCTGAAGAAATGACTTCCCATTCAATAGTGTTACTCCTGTAAGTACGTACATGTAGGAGTTGTCAAAACTATGACGATGGTCTGCTGTTTTGTGGACCAGTCAGTTAAGGCTTGTCAATGTTTGCAGGCGGGTGAGCATGAAGAACCGTTCTGAGGGATACCTCCTGGAGCACAGCGCAACCATACTTACAGAGTATCTAGCATCTATTGTCAACTGCATCTTGAAGTCAGTAGACCGCTGTCCCCCTATCCTCAGGATGGCACTCAAACAGCTCAGACAGCGAGTGGAGGACAAATTCCCTGATAATGACTCGGTAAAGTCTGGATTTGTCAAATTTGTTCCGATATTTATGCAGTAGTTTTAGAGGAGTTGCCAATCGTAGTATGTATGCTACTGTGGCTAGAAGTCGAAAGGACAAACAGAACAGAAGTGAGGTTTTTCTGAAAGAAATAACAGACAAGCTTGAGTTCTACTGGTATTTCAACCATCAAATTCTTTCACAAATGTTAATTCACTTGTGCAGGATGCTAGGTGGGTTGAATTTGGTCACACAGAGTTGGAATTTAAACTTTTGCTATTACACCGACATACTTGTCAGTTGACTGTCTTGAGGCACCTTTCCATATGTGCGTTAACACTTGCGCCAAGCATTGCATGTCCGTCAAAATCTCTCTGAGGACAGTTTTGTTGGCCGAACGCAACGTACACGTGTGTTATGTTCATGGAGTCATTTTTCGTGTCCGTGAAAGTAAAACACACACAACGCACGCAAAATATGTACATGAAAGGTGCCTTTAGTGTGCTATGTCCCTGCAGATTCTACATATCCATTTAGTTTTGCTAACTTTTCCATGAATGCAAATCATGATTCAGAGCAGAATGGAAAGTTGACGAAAAGCCAGCTGTTCTGGTTGAAATGTAAAGTAATCAGTATTCTTAACCAAACCATCAATATACAAGGTGCCAAAACAAGATTTGTGACAGAACAGAGGGCCTTGTTTCATTGTTTTAGAGACAACACGGCTGAAGAAATAAAGTTGTTTAACCCTAAGTCTCCTCAATCCTCCAAAATCCTTCAGGCAGTTTTGTAGGTTTTTGGAGGAATGAGGGTAAATGGCAAAAGTGCATGGCTGATTGCAAAGGATGCTGCGAGTGAAGGTCATGGGTTAGACCTTGTGTTGTTCGTGCTGAATAAATTCAGCCCGATATTTCTTTTGAATCAATGGTACTGCTCAAGAATGTTAGTTATTCGCACTGCCTCAACGCGATGACAGGAATTGCCGGAGGATTTTGAAGGATTGAGGCAGTAGACACACCTCCAAGTAACATTTTCAAGACGTTTTGGAGGATTTCAGAGGGTTGAGGAAGAATCCAATTTTTTTTCACCCCCCAAATTGGAGGATTCGGGAGGATTGAGGAAGGTCCCTAGCAAGAAGGGCCTTAAGGGTTAGGGTTAAACTTTTGTGAGTGCTTATCCCCACCAATGAAGATGGTTGGTTTGAAGTTTGAACTTGAAGTACATGTCTTGGCAAAGGTACATGTATGTACTGTAGGTGATTACATCTACCCAGTCTATATGCTAGTGTCTTTGGTTTGTTCCAGGACTGCAAGTATCTGTGCCTGTCTGGTTTCCTCTTCCTGCGCTTCTTTGCTCCAGCCATCCTCTCTCCCAAGCTGTTCTTCCTGAGGGATCAGCATCCTGACAAATATGTTGGCCGCACACTGACCCTCCTTGCAAAGGTAATTAGGCTATGTCTGAATCATGTGTGGCAGGCAGTAACATAGACATCTACATGTATAGGAAAGAGATGCTGTCTCTAGCCAGTGGTGTCAATCTAGGTACATGTGTTACTTCTGGTTGTATTTCTGGATAGTCAGTAAGGCTTTAAAATGAGAACTTATGCCAGTGGTAAGAATAGAACATTTAGCGTAGACCTGTAAACAATGCCACATTCACAGCTCTCAATTTCTTTCTACAACTTGTGATTCAGCCTACATGTACGTGTTGAAAAAAGAAACTTACATTTACATGTCGGAGCTTTTGGTGCATTTAAGTAGGTACAAGGTTTACCATTCCAAAGAAATTTGAGGGAGTGATGTTACCCCATAAAAAATGTTCAACTTTCAGCTAATTGTAATTTGTAAACTTCTTGCATTGCTCCTGAGTCCTTCATGTGCAGAATGGTCCATGCCCTCCCAGCAGCCTGTTTTCTCCATCTCAGTCACATGTTCATGCACTTTTTATGGTCTGTATTTAGCCCAGCATGGTTTTGAAAGCCAAATTTATAAGGGATGCTGAATTATTCCTTGGACAATTTTCATTAGATCAAGAATACAAAAGGAGCAATGCTTTGAAATTTAAGATTCTGAATAAACAGTCCTGGTTGACTCCAGTTTCACTGGTGACATACACGTAATTCACCCTTGAAAAGGCTTGGGGACTAAATAAAATGATTGCAGGGTGCAGGAATTCATTTTTGCAAGTCTGAAAACAAGATCATCTGACAAGGTCTAGCATGCAAATATGGCTAATGTGTGGGCACACTGTGCCCTACACAAGGTGCTCAAGATGGCACTTACATGCACTTCTGAAAATTTACACAGGCTGTGCAAACCATAGGCAACCTGGGCATCAAGTCGGGCAAGGAGCACTGGATGCAACCTCTCAGCCCACTCATCCAAGACAGTGTCTGCCGCATCAAGGACTTTTTGGACACCTTGCTAGACATCGACGAAACAGAGAGTAAGTGGATGAGCAGGCCTTGCCATAAGCACATCCAGAAACCAAATCATGCAACCATCTCAGCCTCCTTACCTGGTTAGTTGAAACTTGGATTCTGCCAAGGCATGATAATCACAGAAGAAACAAATGCTTATTAAAAGTATTAAAAGCATCTCTGGTTTTCTTTCTAGAATAAGGCAGCCGTGGCTCAGTGCACATGTACACCCGCAGCAGTGAAATAAAATGTCTGTCACCTAGTACTTGTACCACCAATGCAGCATTGCCATTGTGGGCCAATGCAAGCAAAAGTGCTGTACTACTAGCACTCTTAGCGGTCAGAGATTTTAGACATTCAGACACAAATTCATTCCAAACCCACACACTAGCCGTGGGCGCAGACCAGAGCACATCAGGTACAATGCAATAGTATGCCTTCGCTGAGTACTGGCCCCAGCTAGAGTGTCTGTTGCCATGTCTGCACAGATATGAACTGGTAACCTGATGACTTCATATACAATATCACAAGTTTGATCATGAGGAACGGGGACACCTTCCAGCTTCCAGAATTGCATTGGTGTGCATCTTACAAATGCCGTCTTCCCTGTTTTTTAAATTGGCTCACAAATACGTGAACGTGTACATTGTAGCTGCTGATATAAATTAACATACATGTATAATGCGTTACCCATTCTGTCACATAAAAAAAGTTGATGCTTACATCATACTGACAACATACTGGTTGGTGTCAGATTTTTAATCACCATGCAAGACATACATGTTTATCAGGGGTCTATTCAGACTAACACACATGGAGCCCATTGTCTACTTGATGTGTCTCAGTGATTAGCCAGTCATCATATTGTGCTCTTGTATCATTCTGGCCATTAACTCAGTCTTGAATTTAAAAAACACAATGCCTTGAGGAGTAATCCAGGTTTCAAAGAGGCAAAGGTATGACTGTAGGTTTGGTGTCCATACATGTACCGGTACATGTAACTAGAACATGCATGGTTGTTTTTTTGTTTGTGGTAGCCCATGTTATACATTATTCATCGTTGTACATTTGTCATTAAAACTGCGTAGAGATTCTGTGCAGAAATGCAGCAGTCAGCATTTTTGTGATGCATGCCCTGAAGTGCATTGTTGGATCGTTTGCTCAAAATTGTCTTGATTCTTACAATCTTGTAATGAATGGAGCTGTTGATGATGTATTATCTGAAGAACTTCTGTCAATTTAGGTATGCTGCTTGCCATTTGTCATAGCCATTCTATTTTTAACCCTAACCCTTCTCAATCCTTCACCTGTTGGAGGACTGAGGAGTGTTAGTGTTAAGAGAGGAGAAACACATTGATAGACTTACTGATTGGCTTTAATGTTTACTTTCTTTCAGGATTGTTATGTAACAAAACTTAATATTTTGTTTTGTTCTGAATCATCTCAATGATGTGAGGTTGTACCAAAAGGAACTATTGTACCTACCATTATGCCTTTGTAACACTGTTTAATGTTCCTCTATTTTTTTCTCTTTTGTTACATGACTCTGTGTTCATCCCATGTCATGGTTGGCTGTATTTTATCATTCCCTTCATCACCCCATTGTATTTTTACATTTGTCATTCAGGTGCCAAGCATGAGTTTTCAAAATCAGGTATTTATGCATGACTTTTTAATGTGCCTTTAAATGAGTTGTTACCTGCTTTGTCATTTGAACTTTGAAGTCAAATTATGTTACTTTGCTTTGTGGAAAACTGTTTTTTAAAATTTCCCTTGTTGAACGCTTTGTTGGTTTATTTTTTTGTGCCAAATGGGCAATTTTAAAACAGGTTTTTATTAACATTTAGTCTTTGTAATGCATTTAAAGGTAAGAAAGTGTCTTAATGACTAGGCCTCAGCTGAAGTTACATACAACTGCTTAGGTATCAGCTGAAGCTTATGTCATAGACTTGAGCATATGCATGATGCATCAGGTCTCAGGATGATGTCCAAATCACTTGACTGCTGCAAGGAATATTTGCTGCTGGCCAGTTGCTTCCCTGTGGCCTGTGGTGTGTGCTGTTTTCAGTCACAACCTCTACATCTTCTCATAGCCTGAGCCATTTTACTAACTGGTAACCTGATTTTCCTGAGCCCAGCTTCGGTATCGGACTAAAATCCCAAAGTGGCTTTTAGTGTATTGGAAAAAGTTATATTAATACACTTTATTAATGGGTTGGCCATATTAAAATTGAATGCAAGGTTCATTTTTGGAACTTGAGAGTAGAAATAAAAGTGAAAAAACAAAAAGAAATTTATGAGAAATTAGTACCGGTACCTGTCTACTCAGATGTATAATTTCGTATTTGTGATTAAACATATCTTAGTTTTTTGTTTTTTGGAGGAATCCTTAGTTCTTGTCTTTCATTGTAATGTTTAGTTCCCAATCGTGAGGCACAGAAGCGCAGCATCTTCCACCGCACCACGACCATCAAGGAGGGCCCTCTGAAAAAGCGACGAGCCGAGGATGTGTCAGTCATCACACCATTCACCTTCAAGAAACGTTACTTCTGGCTCAGCTATGACAGCCTGTCCTATGCCAAGCATGCTGAGGACCAGGTGACATTGTCAAGCCTCAAGTCACTGTGATATACTGCTTCCTCAAAATACAAAATTAAGGAGACTCTGCCAGTAGTTCATATGAAGGATTTCTCTAAATAGAATGCTTACAGATCGAGCAATCTTGCTCCATGAAACAATAATAATTGTCAAGCTTTATACTGTTCAGCACTTCTGAAATAATTAAAGCCTTCTTCAGACAGTGGCCATATTTTATTAACTTATTTCAACAAAGTCTCAGCAATTCACTATCAAACAGGTGATCATTCTTATACAAAATGCAGATTAGGATATTATGGCTTTTAATTTCAAAATGGTAGTGATCCTGTTTTAGATTCCACACTCGCATCTGTCATCGGTTTTTTTCTGGGATTAATTCACTATTAAGGACTAGATATTAGCCAAGTCCTTGCAAGTCATCATAATGCATCCAGTAATAGTAAGAGTTTGTTTCAGTGAACAATGCCTCCCTTAAACGCAGTGTTGAAATGCACCTGCTTGTCCTTTGCTCTGCACCGCAAATGAAGTTTAGAGTAATTCTGAATTATTTTCATTTGAAGGTTCGAAACACTATCTTGATAGAATGGGTGTGCATCGTGGAGTGTGTGGATGAAGCTGCCTTCCAGTTAGACCATCTGATACAGATCATATACCATGATGCCCAGGGAGGCTTGAAGACACTCTATCTGCAAGCAAAGGTAAGTTGACTTCTTTGAGTCTGCCATTCTCCACTCAGTGCATCACCTAGAAGTTGACAGCATGAGGTGAATTTTTGCATTGTACCTGTACTTTTGGAAAATGCTGAACATCAGCTCACTGATTTGGTTTAGTATACAGTGTTTGAATGAGTGTATTCAGGAGGCACCCTAATGTGTTGATATTTTTATTGGGATTGCATATAAATATTGAAAACTGAATTCTGACGAGGTAAGATTTTTGTTTTGAATGTGAAAAGTGGCTTCTTCAGCATAAGCACTTATTGATGGCCCGTTGGTCCTCTTATTTTAAAGTGCTGAAGTTTGTCACTAGTTTAGTAGATCAAAGCATGAAGATCTCACGTGATTTTTTTTTGAACATTGGGCTGGATATCACATTGATTTTCATTTACCATGGTATAAAAAAATCCAGGTGGATTGCTTCGTAAGGTTGCTCTCCAAAGCACTACAATGTCAGTGTTAATATAAAGTAATATAGTGGGATGCCACAAGGAGGCCCGGTCCCATTGTGAAACGGAACGAGCACAGGCACGATACACGAACAAAGACCAAGACAGACTCAGCAGGATAATTGTAGCCTTGATTTATTGGTGACCAGCAACTGTTACAGGCATCCTTACAATATAGATCCTGGAGTGACAAAAACCCCATTGCCTGAAACAACAAAATAATGAGAGCTTCCAATGATCAACCTGTATCTACATACACACACTCTACACGTACAGTACATTCACAGACTATAGCACACGTGTATCGTTGCTTACATAGGATACTTAAAAGTGAACGGCAATGTCGTTAAACATCATAACACATCAATATCACAAACAAAATCAAGAAGTACATGTACTCACTGAGGGTTTCCGTGTAGACTGTACTACATAATCACCATGGGACTATGCCTACACAGACGTGGAAATGGGTGCTACTGATATTAAAATATACCCATTCTCTCCGCTTCCCTCTAAAACTCGAACTCCACGGCCAACCCAGTCAAAGTCTTTGACCGTCTCTTATACTGTTTTGTTTGTATTCATACGCAAAGAGTTACTTACCAAGTAAATTGTAGTACAAGTAACGTGAGCTTCAATTAACACGTCACCAAAATATCTCATAATACAAGGGGTAATTATTGTACATGACAATAATTTTGATATATTCAGTCAGTTGTCTAAAATAATCTTTGGACTTATTTTCCGGGTGGAAGTCTACCAAGTGCAACCAGTCCTTGTGCGACGGAAGCACAAAGGTCACCAAGTAACAATTACTTGACATGCAAATATGCAAATAACCCAGATACAATGTAGGTCAGCTACACAATGTGCATATTCATGTTTAGAATTAAAACAGTGAGGTCGCCCTTGCTAATGCACGGCCTCCTACAGTAAGATATTGTTCTTTGTCACATAATGTCAGTATTTTGTTTTAGTGTATGACATGTCTGATGTTAACATTCATACATGTATTGTTTAGCAGCATTTAACAGTCAATCCCCCACCAGATCGTCATTTCTAAGGAGCATTCAGTCCAGCAAAAGCTTTACAAAGCTGTTTTAAAAGATTGTATAATTTTGTTTAAGGTATTGCATCATGGAGAGCTTGATTTCAAGTCCTTAACCTGCTAAACTGATTAAATTTCACAGGATGTGAATGAGCAGCAACAGTGGTTATCAGCTATCCGCAAAACATGCGTGTCCAACCCCAACATGCTCAACACATTCCACCCTGGTGCCTTCCGAGGGTCAAAATGGACCTGCTGCCTTCAATCCAGTAGAACACGTTAGTATTAAAACAGTAAGCTAAACAAGAAGGGAATACTCCCAAGATCATGATGGATTCAAGAAACATGTTGGAGATACACTCTTGCATTCAGCAGTAATGCTAGTACTGTTTTTTGCTGCAAATGAAAGATTGATGAAATTGAGTTGAAGCTTTAGAACGAGGTGTTTGCTCTGTTTATTTTGTTAGACTTTCTCAGAAATAGAGGCAGTTGTGCTTTCTAATCCTACCTGAAAACTTAAATTACCTTCCCCACTCTCTAAATTGATGGATTCTGATTGAGAAATCATCTTGCCTGCAGCATATGTTGGATGCAGCCGAGCCCACAACGCAGCAACGCTGGGTGACTGGAGAGATCCCTTGGACCCAGATGTAGAGGCTCAGATTATATACAGTCAACTCAGACTGGGCAAAGATGTCCTGAGGTAGGCTGGTGATGGTTGCTTATTGCACTCACCTGCAATCTTACTGGTTCTCTGTACTGGTTGAGCAAAATCTGATGTGTAAAGTACTGTATTTTATTTTTGGCTGCTAATTTTGATATCCCTACTAAGGCAAACAGGAAGCGTAAAGTCATGCGTTTCTTCGGTTACAACTCTTCCTTCTGTTGTCTTCTATGAAGAAAAGGATGTAAGGTTTGTTTAGACAAAGAAGCTTGTCTTATTTCCTTGCAGTCTGCCTGAGACTATGTTCCATATGATGTCATGCCAATGAGCAGCACAAGATAACCTAAGTGTCCCTTATCTATTCATTTTATGTGGCTTGCATTGAACGGCATTATGTGAACACTTTTTCAAGTCTTTGTATTTCAAGAGAAAAGCATGCCGTGCAGGTGAGAACTTTGTTGAAAGCTGGCATCACATGACCACCGCATTCAGTTTTGTCAAACAAGTGCCTCAAGGTCTGACCCAAAGTGTTAACAGCCGACAGTCAATTGGTAACTTTGATTTTTCTTAACAGGAAAAAGTATTTGGAAGAGTCTGATGCTGGAAGTGCTGTGTCCAGAAGGGAGCCAGAGGAGGACTCTGGTAATGGCACAGAAGATGATGCCAACTCACCACCGGCTGTCGTCACTAACTCAGGTTGGTTGGAATTTAGTTTACATCCTAAATTACTCATCTAACTGTACCACTACAATTCTGTTTCTTTTTTTTTGGTAATGGCTGCTCCTGGAATGCCCCTACATTAAAATCAAGCATGTGATTTGTGAAATTCCCTATATATCACTGCAGAGGAGCAGCCTACTTAGAATATTTATGAGTATTGTGCACATGGACACAAATGGGAGCAGCCTTGTAATCCTGAACCTGTGGGGAAAATCGTTTGGAGTTGAAGCTTTGTTGATGTTGCCTCAGCCTGTACATTTTGCCATCTGACACTGATTCAAGGGCGGATCCGGGGGGGGGGGAACAATTGGGGCCATGGCTCCCCCCAAAAATGACGAGGACTTTTTTGTAATCAGTCAGCATGAAGATATTAAGTGTCTTATACATGGAGGTTGTTTTGTATGGAGAGAGCCATTTTGTTCAGAAAATTGTTTCTGAGCAGCTGCTTAGCTGGTGTGATCAGTTAATGCAAAGTGCACCAGGGGCACTGCTTGTTTTGGCACCCCAAGAAATTTGGGTCTGGATCCGGTCTTGCACTGATTGTGAGAATGCTGCTTCATTCGTCTCATCCTACCGGCCTAAGCAAACGTGTTAGTGGTTAGTTGGCTCTTGCAGTGATCAGGAGTATTTTTGTATTTCCTCATTGGCTGTGAACACTGAGCATACACAGCTGACAATACCATGTTAGCAAAAAACTACAGGCTTTTGAAAAAGATAATCCATTATCCAACCTTCTCAGTCACTTTTGTTGAAGGTGGCATCATGCAAGCAGCGGTCACAAATGCATGCTCAGAAATTGCATCTGTACTCATTCTTAGTGGTCACAAAAATGACCATCGCACCCCTCTTGTGCATCCCAGCAGACGGCAGTGTAGTCAGAACCCACAAGCCTTGCCACAAGACGGTGTCTTACCACGACTCCCGCATGGCCTCTGCTGCCACACTCCTGGATGTCATCAATGACCTGGAGAGGGCACACCTTGCCTTTCAGAGACGAGCTCAGGAAGTTAAGCAAGACAAAGACGAAAGAGCCTGAAAAAATAATAAACAAATGCCTTGAATCTAGCATTGTTGAGAAAAGATCTCAGTATTTTTGTGTAAATAAAGGAGTATTTTGTAAAAAACAAAAACAAAAAAACCCACTCACAATTTGTGCAATTGAAGAAAGCATATAAATTGCAATGCTGTATATTGGTGTCTGTCTCATCTCTGTGTAAAATTCTGCAAAATCTAGAGCCAGTAAACCATACAGTTTGAAAGACTGGGCATTTTGTAAATTCGGACTGCAACTCTCTACTGCTGTCTGTGCAGTTACAAATCTTGTCGATATCAAATGAAAGTTTAACTTCAATATCTCCTGAGAATTTTTGTACTGATTTTTTTGCCTTGAACTTGGTCTTGTTCTCTTGAAGTGCATGAATCCTGTACCTTAGGCAGATTATCATCCTTCATGTTTAATACATACTTTGAAAGAGTATTCAATCGCTTTTCTTTATCAGAAGTGTTTCAAAAATCTTTAAAAAAGCAAGATGTTTTGATAAATTTCCCTCTCCTCTCCCGTACCATTCCACTTTGGGGCCTGATGTGCCAGATATTGTTTATATGCCACTGTATTTTTGCCATGCCAGATCTGGGCAGATTGAGGAAATGTTGAAAAATACCTCTGACGTTTTTATCAGTGACAGAGCAACTGATGTGTTGATGAAATTGTTATACGAGGCCAACTCTTGAGAGCGGGTGTCAATGAAATGGAAACATCACAGATGATGTGGACTTCTCATTTTTGCAGGGCTTTAAAACATTTACCATCTCTCCAAAAATATTATCTATCAAGATGACCATTATCTGCAATATGCTTAGCAAATCCATTTATTGTAAGCTTTGGATAGGAAAAATATTTGAGAAAATTTCTTTCCATATATCCAGTATCTTCTGCTGAACAGCTGTTTCACACTTCCATAATCTTTTAACCAACGGTATAGATTGTTAGACCAATTCCCCATCACAGATGTAAAATGGTGGTAACGTTGCTGGCTTGAGAACTGTGTGTCATTGTATAATGGTTCTGTGCTAAAATAATATTTAATGACATTGTGCCATTTGTTGAACACGTATTCACAATGTATGATTAAAATCATTCCAGAGCAGAATTTTGATTTAAACAAATGTCAGATATTTAAGAGAAGAAATGTCAAATGAAAAGTTATATATTTTCCAAATTGTGGGCTGCACCTGTGACGGCTACTATTCTGTCATTAATCCATCAGTATTTTCATCCCACACAGCCTTAATTCTTTGAAAGTTATATATATATATATCTATAGATTGTATGAAGAAGAGATTGATTTATTGAAGAGATTGACTTATTCATTCACATTTAAAAGTATTTGATGTATAAAGCAGAAAGAGTGCAACCCAAATGCGTTACATTTATAATCTGAAAAAAAGAAGAAGCAAGCACGTGTGTTGTGCATGAAAGCTTTTAAGAACTGCACAATAGTACAGTTGTTCAAAGTGAGCAAGCTGAAACATTATTAAAAACTGGAAAAGACCATCGGTGTGATGGGCAGGTCTTACCGTGTTCTTTGAATTTTATTTTGGTATGCCAGTGTTGCATTGACATTTATCATTTCCTGTTGAAATGTTTATATTCCTATACCTTGATATTCATTAAGAAAATAATGCCATTTCACTTGTGTTTATGAAAATGCCATTTATTAACAGTTGACAGTTCACAAAGGTTGAAACAGGTCATGTGTATACAAACAAATCTGAACTTAAGCACTTAACAGAATGCACAGAACTCTCAAAGAAACTAAAAACCTTTTGTAATGACTGCTGTTTTTAAATGGGAGAAAAGTGTTGTAGTCTTCCAAGATAACTGGGAATATTCTTTTCTGACAACTACATGCACACTCTGCAATTACCTCATAAAACATGAACTTGGCTTAAATATGTACTTTTTAAGCAATGCTAAACTTGTGACACATGGCGCATGAATGTATTTGCCCGTAGTTTTGTTAGTGATCTAATTTTACATTACAAATTCGCTTTAGTAAATTGACGATCTACTCTTTGATGGATATGAAAAAAGCAAGAATAACATCGAGGATGTTACTATTTCTTTTGAAAACGATCTTTCCAGTGCATCACCCTTACGTTTAGCTTGTTGCACTAATAATCTACATTAACCCTAAAAACAAAAAAGTACGTAAAAAGTACAAAAAGTACGAAAAAAAAAAGGAAACACAAAATATTTGTAAGTCTAGTTGCTACAGTACTTGAGTTTCAAAACAAAGTAAATTGTTATGCACCAAGAAATGACATGCAGAAATGTCCTTTGCTTTCACACTCGTCAAGTAACAACTATCCTCACACTTACTGGGAAGTCTATCATCAGTTCTCTAATGAAAGCTTGAGTAAAAATCTTGTAGATTATTGGTCTTCAACATGTCTTTGAAATACCCATGAAAAACTGATGGCAAACAGATCACTGACTTATGTAACCAGGGCCTGAAATGAACGACGGCCACGACAGCCAGTGCCGTTGTTGCCCTTTGCACTGGCCAAGGTGCCCCACAAAAAATCTCCGTTCTCTCGACCAGTTTTACCTCTCCCCACTTATTAACTTTGACCGTTGTGCCTTTTTTCCATAAACATCCCTACGCCTATTGAAAACACGAAAATCCTTGGTTTCAGATGCTTGCAAACCTATTGAATGTGTATTTCGATGTCATGCCAACCGATCAACTCTTAAAATCTCGCACTTGTACATAAAAGCAAGGGTCCTGAATGTGCCGATACTTCAAGCTGTGACACCCCCGCTGCAAAAATAAATGCCTCTATTCGTGCACTCACATTCCAGCAGGAGTATGTGCAAAACATTTCACGTGCAGAGCTGCCCAACTTGCTCTTTCTCAGTACTAGTATGTGTGGTACACCATTCACATTGATTCATATTGAGGTCCGTGCACGAGGCATGCGTGTATGTTCTGATTGTCAAAACTTTTTGATGAATGAATATTGGCATTTAGCCTCCATGCTCCTTTTACAGATTTTATCTGGCCATGGTGCCCTCCCAACTGGCCGCGATGCCCCCTATAATTTTGCTTAATTCAAGGCCACAGCAGCCTTGCCCTATAAATTACAAAAATTCAAGGCCTAATGTAACCTGAAAATAATGTAGCAGTTTCAGGTAGTCTGTCCTGATATCAATTACACTATAAACAATGATTACACCATTAATTTTGTTGATGCTTCTGACAAAGAACCAACAAGGCAAAAAATGGTGTTCACAAAAAAAATGACCCACTCCTTTTTAAACAACTGTGACCCACCATCCCAAAACCAGGCTGAAGTCGGTATTTGTGATGATGGACAAATCCTATCCTTCAGTTTTTTCACACTTTAATGCGATCCGTGTTAAATTCAAATTCTGTCTGCAGTAAGCTTCTTAGGTAGTGATAGCTGTAAAACTCCCATGAAAATCTGAACAGTGGAAGTTCCACTATTTTAGGGTTGTGAAGTTACCTACTTCAGCCTGGTTTGGGCATCGTGGGTCACAATTACAAAACAAAACTTGAATGAGCAGTGCCAGGACATTTGACTTTTAAGCAGAACAGACAGTTTTGACTAAGTACTGGTTCTGTACGGTGAAACAATAGCAAGAAAAGAAGGTAACAATGTACAACGCCCTCAAATCTCTCTTGGGAAAGAAGACACTGTACACTGACATTACGTCTGATCTGCAGATTTACAAAGATAGGCTTCTAATGGTTGCTTACTAAATAAAAAAAAAATCCATGTTTCATAATTACTCAACAATCGTCTAATTTTCAAGTAACGGCACCATGGTCCGGGAATTGCCATGGATCAAGCCAAACCTCTACGTGTAAGTCAATCACCAATCAGAGCCCATAGAACTTGAGGCTGCGATCCATGCTGACGGAAGATACAAAGGTTGTGTGCTGGCCAAATCGAACACCAGTTGTCATGTCTGTGTGATCTGTGGTTCAGGAGGGGAAAGGGATGAATAAAGGGAAAGTTCAACAGTTCTTAATGCAGCTCAGGAAGGGTTGTTATTTGACTCTGTCCAGGGATGAGTGAAAGAGCTCATTTACTTAACTACAGTATCCCTAAGGAGTGTCATAATTGGTATGCATGCTTATCTCCACAAGTACAAAGCAGAGTCGGCGTTTATTTGAAAACGGCGTCCACATTTGCCGAGGGAATGTGAAAGTGGGGTCTCCAAGCTGCTGTTGACATACATTTGTGTAGACGGGTTTCACACAAGCAGCTTTGCAAATACAGTACAGGTCAGAATTTTAGCCGACATGCTAACACAATCAGTGAACCTGAAACGCTGTTCAATACACGCTTTGAGGTTGTTACTATGCATTGCTGGTCCAATGCATGATAAGCCTGACCCTAGACCTCATTATCTCGGCAGGGCTTGTGACCGCAGACCGTAAAGGTGACCGACAACGTGTAGTGAACCACTGCACATGCAGAGCTGTCGCTCCAGCTTCATGTATGCATGTACACTGTACGTACATGTACTGTACATGTACACTGTATGGCAGTGCAGAATAAGTGAAATCACATACATGTACATGTAGTGCCTGGCTGGCAAGATGATCGTCTTGAAGTATCAAAATGTGTATCACAGCTGTTTTCTTTTAGTTTTGGATTGCGAAAGTTGTTCAGTCGGATTACATCTGGAAAACGTCAAATTTCAGTGAAACTGGCCACTAGTCCACCAGGTGTGTTTAAGCTACTACTACAAAACTTTTTCCCAAATGTAAGCTTTGAATTTTAAACTCACGGGATTGACTGGAATGATGACAATGCTTTTCTTTCTAGTTCTAACGCTAGATTGGTTTTAAGCAATTCCCGGCTGTGCGAGAAACTTTATCACAAATAAACAGTAACTACGAGAGAAGTCCATTCCTCAGCCAGAACTATTGTAACAATCTGATTTACAATGAAGCATTTCATATTTTATGGAATTTAGTTCATGTATCAGAATTCCAGTAAATTAAAAAAAAAAAAACACCCACTGAACCTTACGTAAATTTTTTTTATTATTTGCTGCCACATGTGCCACGACTATGCTGCAACCGAGCAATCACGTAACTACAACCACCCCAGCCACCAATCATAAATCGAAAGAAGTGTATTGCATATTCATTTTGGTACTGCGCCAACAAATGCAAAGCTACAGCCCTTTCACATCACACTACATGCATATTTATGAAGTTCACCTGGGAGCTACTTTGTCCGTTGTGTGCAGCCGGTGTATGCACGTCACTAGCGCTGACCCGACTTCCTTTCATTTCGGTACGATCTTTGCCGTTTAGTTTGGTCCTAATACTGTCACAATCAGAGTGATTTTTAAGGTAGTTTTTCCAGCTCAATGGTCGAAAACTGATGGGAAAAATCCCTGTCTCACATTGAATTTATATTCACGCGATTTTGAACACACTGAGCTCGAGTACGGCAACAACTCTCTATGTGTATGCTAGAATCGCCGCTGTGGGGGCTGTCTTGACTAAAATTTGGCTAGGGGACCGGCGAGGTCAAACCCCTTTTATATTTTGTGGATTACTTTCAAAATAGTTTTCTCTAATTTAGGAAATGTTTTGTCATAAAAACTGCTAGTTATACATGTAATTGTCTTGGTTGAAAAATTGACTTCACACTCAAGCATTTTCTGTGCCTGATTCAGAAGTTTAGGGAGCAATTCAGACATGGACCAAAAGTGTTGCCTGCATGGCACTTTCATCGATCCTAAATGGACAAACAAAACAATTTATCCTTGAAAATGTTTTTGTGATGCCTACTACATACAAGGTAAACTACTGACAACATTTCCATGGAATTTGAAGATAACTTGAGCTGCAGTCAACCTGAATACTTTTCGTTGTGGTAAACTAGGAAAATGACTGCTCCGGTCAACAAAGGTCTGGCTGTTCTGGGTTTGCATGTAGCGTGTGCATGTTTATACTCAGCAGATAGGATTGCAGTGTCGGCATTCTCTGTTATGCAGGGGTCAGTGTGTTTCATGTTTGCGGTTAACTCCTTTCATGTCTGTTTGACCCTATACACACTGACACGCTAAGCATGTTTGCGGGTCGGCTAAAATTCTGACCTGTACTGTAGTGTCCTAAACCAGCAATGGCATCCAACTATCAGCCTGGCATCTCTCTTTACCAACAGGGAGGAAGAACAAGCCCCAGAACTCAGGGTATCTCGACATCCAAACTATTCTTGTCTTTTGGAATAATCTTTTTAGGAAAGTGAGTATATCCTGCTGAAGTTTTGTTCCTACCATGGTTCAAATGTTCTTGAATATGTCTCTGTTTAGTACAGGTATCATCACTATAGTAACATGAACTTTGACAAAGTTCCTTCCACCCATCAAAATCAAATCCACTACAAACCATAAAGAGTGGTAAAAGAAATTCTTTTCTTTTGGTGGCATGTAACCAAATACTCACCTGAGAAAACCTTGAGTTCCTGCCACTGTTTGCAGAGGTAAACTCTCAGATCAGTGCCAGCTACAGCCAAGTAGGTTCCACTTTGGTCAAAGCACAGTGACTTCACCTTGAAAAAAAGAGCAGCCAAATCAGCGTTAAATCAAGAGAAAATGAATGCTGATGATAAAACTTACTGTAGCTCAACATGAAAAAGGAATAATTTTTTTAAACTACATGCCTTGGATTACTACAGTCAACTCTCATTATTACGAAATCCGCAGGACCAAGTAGAAATGTTCGTTGCATCTCAAATTCGTCGTAAGTGGAACGCAGGGCAATGCATTGAATGAATAGGTCCAATTGTGTACAATGCCATTTACAATGTACTGTACATGTACATCTGTACATGCATACACGTGAACATGGTTGATGCTCATGATGTCAAAAAGATTAATCAATGTGTGTAGAATAAAAACCTCACTGTCATATGACAACATGTTTAATAGTCATGTGAGATAAAAAGCAAATACTGTACATGTGAAAGCATTGATCCAGGGATTTTAAAAAGACATACGATTGCCATGGATGACGACGAAGCTAACAGTAACTAAACGACATGCACATGTAGGTCTGTGTGTACCTGCAAGAATGTGAAGACTCATCAACTGGAGCTCCGTCCATGTAAGTAGTCTTTCCAACACAAATTGTGCCATAGAGAGACACTTTTGTTTGATTTTCCATCTTTGACTTTTGACACTAATTGCATTGATCACGATTGATCTATAGTCCGAGTCCACTCGCCCACTGCGGTGTGGCCGCCCGCGCTTGAAATGGTTGCTAAAGAAGCATGATGTCATGAAGGATTATTGTGATTAGATAGCTGTATCTTGCAAAATGTATGTCATGTAAATGCACAGTCGCATTGGTGAGTGCACTAGATCTTTTTGCAGCAACAGGGTTCGAAATTCACGACGGTCACGACGAGGTTGAACAGATTGTGTTTTGACAAATTTGCCTTTGGGCCCTTATCAATTTTTGACAATGGCCTGCGTGCCCTTTTAATTGGCCTTGGTGCCCCTGGAAATTTTGACTTCTCCAAGGCCAAAATGGCCTAGGCCCCTAAAAACGAATTTCGAACCCTGCAGCAATATGAACAATTCAGTGCTGGGTGATTAGTTTGGATCTTGAGATGCGAGAATAGTCAAACAAACTTATTTGGTATTTCAGTATTTTTATCAGAATTAGGATGGGAATTTTTGTTTGATGTTAGTGTAATCGGTGTAAAAAATCATTGATTTTTGAATTGTGCACTTCATTTGTCATGAAGACAGGAAACTGGTAAGCGTGCGTAACGCATCTAGAGGGGCAGGTGATAAGTCTCGTGCTGCGGCTGGAAATTTTGTGGAAACAGGCTCGCTTTAAGTACAAGCAGTACAACTTCAAATTAAATTCATGAATACAGAAAACACAAATATAGACATGAATTCGATTTTTGTGAATGAATCTGCAGCAAATTCATGACGGCAGTGTTTTTCGACTTGCAATTGCAGAGCTGCATTCGTATACGATGTAGTGAACGCATGACCCTTCTTTGGCAGGAATTGTACACTGACTAGTTGCCGCATTTCCATCATGCCTTCTTTGGCAATGGCTTGGCACGGTGGGAACCAGTGTGTGGCACGGTGGAAACCAGTGTGGTGCACTGTGCACGTGTTTTCACCACTGCGATTCACAAACGTACGTTATAAATGGGTTGTCAACAATGGTTTTTCAGGCAACGGAGTCATGAAAACCTTTTGTTGCAACAGGAATTTCGTACAATGTGATTTCGTCGTAACAGATTATTTCCCATAGAAATGAACACGTTTTCGCCAGGAACAAAGATGTGTGTTTGTTATACCAGAATTTTGTTGTCGCCAATTTCGTAATAATGAGAGTCGACTGTATATACTAAAGAAAGGGAGACAGTCATATATTCAACTTGCCATTTGTGTTACTCATTCTGGCAAGCAAAGGCTATAAATGTGACAGTTTGGTATACCAGCAGCAGATACTCAAAATAAAGCACAAATAAATAAACCGGTAATGACAATATGCATGTGTGAGAATTGCCCCATATCAGAGCAGCTGTGTGCCAACATACACGCACTGAACATGGTTGAAAATTAAACAGCCCTATAATAACTTCTGTTAATATCTAGTGTTCCACAAATCTTCAGTGGTTGAGAAGTCTTCAGAGGAAGGGGGGGGGAGAAGAAATCTGTACATATCATTTACCTCGTATCTATCATCTAGGGTAATATTCTTGAAATTTTTCAGTTTGCGTAAATCCCACAGCTTGACCACGGCATCGTCGGCGGCAGTCGCCAGGTAGTAGCCGTTCTCGGAGAAGGCCAAGGCAGTGATGGGTCCCGAGTGGCCGGGGAAGTTGGCCACGTTGGTGCCCTCTTTCAAATCCCAGATTTTAATGATGCTGCTGCCGGTTCCTGTGCCAAAGATCAGACCATCAGGGTGGAACTGGGCACATGTCAGAGCTGCATGAAAAAAGAAGGGGGGGCATTTGTAAATAAATGACAAAAGCCTAAATCCCTAGGACCTCATTTTGATCCCTTGATTTTGTAAGACTATGGAATGGCTACAACACTTCCATAGTCTTTCCTCTCTTCCTTAACCACTTGACGGGAATTTCTTCCCGAAAGCCGACTCGAAGAATTCCAGCCTCGCTTGGCCATGAAGGCCACCTGCCAAACCGCATATTCTCGGTTTGTGGCCCTGCGTGCTCTGCACGCTTTGAATTACACGGTGAAAAGGCAATGAAACAATGCCCTCCTTTGTTAAACTGAGAAAAGTGCTTTCAATTTATGTTTAAAAGGGTTGAGGAAAAATAAACTTCTTTTCTGTTCACTATGTTCTGAACTTTGAAGGGTTTTTCAAAATTCTCACCATGCCCGATGGAGTCATCAGTGACCTTGGTCAGCACGCGACCGCTTGCGATGTCAGAGAATGCCCAGTGCTGATCTTCAGAGCAACTCAGAAGGTAGTCACCCGTGGCGTGCAGGCTCAGACCTGTGACCGGAGCATTGTGGGCACGGATGACTTGCTGGCAGGAGGCATTACCAACAAACCAGATGCGGATCGTCGTGTCCGGAGAGGAGCTGAACACGATTTCCTGTAATGGGTGGATTAGTTTCAAAACACACTCACATGCAACTGTAGTCTGTCATCATCATTTTCTACTAGTTTCTACTTTACTGGTCTTGAAGATCAGTTGACTATTTTTTTTATGCTTAGAACACTTTTCTCTATGCCATTTTTTAAAAAACTACTCACAAATGGTTTTTTATGCATAAATTCAATTACAATTTTGAACAGTGCAATGAAATAGGAATTGTCTCAAGTACAAAGCATTTTCATTTGATGAATGACTTCTTGGTAAATAAAATGAAGATACGCAGAACAGCTCTTTCTTGCAATAATCATATTTACACTTATCTATTTTGTATTTCTTCAGGAAAAAACTGACAGGGAAAAGGAAACAGCTCTGGGCTGTATCTTTTCCTAAAAACTGACCCTAAACTGCTCACATGGACCCCTTCCACTTGTATTAGCCTGGCACTGCTGTCCACTACTTACCTCTGTTGGGTGATAAATGACATTGGTGACTTTCTTGTTGTGACCTTTCATGACGGCTGTCACCTGTTCTGTGTCCTTGTTGAAAACAACAACCGACTTGTCCGCACCACCTGAAAGAAGAAAACTTCTTAACGGTAAATCACTGCCTTAAACCCTCACAATGCTGGCGATGAAGTCAGTACAGTTACCCTCAATTTACTTGATTATTGAAAGGTCAATATTAACTACAAGCTAGCAATTTCCACTTTAATTTTGGTAGCATATCGCACATTTAAAGCAGTGCATATCTACCGTGCATTAATAATGCTGACTACGCAATTTCAATTAACCACTTCGTGCCGGGGCAATTTTCAACGTTGAGGATGCTGGGCCGGCATGACTATCATTTTTTCCGTTTTCAAAATCCAAACAGTCATTTATAGCCCCACAGAGTAATCTTCAGGCTTTACTCTAAGTTGACAGGTGACCTTCATTGATGCCCGAATATTTCAGCCAGGCCTGCAG